CCTGCAGCCATTGATGCTACATGCGACCGTCCTCATCATTATAACCATCTTCACTAAATACTGTCTTTTTCACCTTTGTGTCAGCATCACTACCTAGGCCCTGCTGGCTTCCTCATCTACGACCTTCCTCCTTATTTTCCCTTCATTATCTTCCATCTCCTTCACCACCATTCCTACCCTTCACCACCTTCCCTACCCTTCACCACCTTCCCTACCCTTCACCACCTTCCCTACCCTTCACCACCTTCCCTACCCTTCACCACCTTCCCTACCCTTCACCACCATTATTCACCATTCTGTGACCATCTTCTCTAGAACACTCTCATTCAGTACATAAACTACTTAAGAGAAACTAACACGTAATCATCACATCAAAAATAACACGCTTGATGCAACATAGTGAACATAGAATCTAGTATTTAGTGAGATTGGAAATTAGACTAATTTGCCATTGCATGCAAAGGTGGTTTGGTAGTTAGGCCTAGAACTGGTTGCCTTAGGTGTGTATATAGTGTGTATGGAGGGGGGAGGGGGAAGGAATGGTGCCCAACCGCTTGGACGGTCGGGGATTGAACACCGACCTGCATGAAGTGAAACCGTCACTCTACCGTCCAGCCAAACTGTTTTTTTCCGGGGGGAGAGGGAGCAGGCTATTTTTGTAGGTTTGAGCAATAGTGGGTGGTAGTAGTGTCAGTTTTGGCGGGTGTGTTGTAATAGTAGTGTGTGCCTGTGTGCGGGCCGTCGGCCACCTGGAGAATGCGCGGGTAAAAGCAATTAACCAGTATTACCAGACCCTCTTAGCCGCCTCCACCCAGCGTCCCGCCGCTAACACGGTGTCCGCTCTAAGCCTCCAGGCAAGGCGAGGTAACTACATATTTACGTCAGCAGAAAGCGCCAAGCCACTATGACTATATATATATAGCTCTCTAAGCCTCCAGATGATAACGGACTTTCACTTTCCGCTCTTAAATAAACACATTAACAATAAACACATCAATTAATTTACGCTAAACTATCATGTTCAAACTTACTCATCGACGCGATAAATCACCTTAACTATTGAGACCGTCTCAAAGCTCTCAAAATGTTCACTCTAAATATGAGACTTGAGAGAGTTAACATATAATTAATATATATATATATATATATATATATATATATATATATATATATATATATATATATATATATATATATATATATATATATATATATATATATATATATATATATATATATATATACACTGAAAGGTCAGGTCCTATATTTACAATAAATATGACAACGTACTGGAGTAAATGATATGGTCGGAAATGCAGAATTGGCACAGAGAACATTGTATGAACATTACAGTTGAGAGGCGGGACCAAAGAGCCAAAGCTCAACCCCCGCAAGCACAAATAGGTGAGTACAGGTCTACAGCTGCTCAATATCCTCTTAGAAGGCAGAAGAAATGTTGCCGGTCCAGAACTGGGCGTGTTGAAAAGAAAATTAGACAGGTTCTTGCAAGAAGTGCCGGACCAACCGGGTTGTAGTGGATATGTGGGTCTCAGCAACCAACAGCCTGTTGGTCCAAGCTCTCACAAGTCAAGCCTAGTCCCAGGCCGGACTTGAGAAGAATTCTCAGAACCCACTTCAGGTATGTTCAAATATATTTCAGGTATATTCCAGGTGCATTCTGTGTATACTCCAGGTATTGCAAAATTAATGATAGCATTTTATATTTCCATATTCACAATGTTATTTAAATGTAATACAAAATTTGCGTTTGAAGAACTCTAACAAACATATTTCATGAGAGGTGTACAAGCAGTTGTGATGCACAAGAGGTTGGTACAGTGCTGCTGAAACAGAAAACCGGTTGTGTGACCATTCTTGGAAATAAATTGATGCCATGGGCGATGGGTCCCAGCGTGCGCATTCCTGAATTTTTGACCTTAATAATGCCCAGCTCCTCTCCTATGTCAAGCATACATGTGTGTGTGTGTGTGTATGAATGTGAGTGTGTGTGTGTATGAATGTGTGTGTGTGTGTGTGTGTATGAGCAAAGTTCAGGAACACTGGACCTTTGCATTTTTTTTTAAAGCATCGCGGTGACCTTATCCACGTACTGATAAATATTATTTTCTCTGGCTATATAGTCACTGAATATGACTGTATTTTTACTGTTGATTACAGTATCGTCTTGTTCTCTCCAAGTGTCATAGTTGCTTATCATTTTTTTTTGAGGGGGGGGAGGGGGGGGGGATTATTCAAAGCCTCATGTTAATAAATATCCTCATGGAGTTTCCCAAAACAACTCCCCCTTAGAGGCGCTTCAGGACACTCCACTAACGAGTCAATGGGCCTATGATCTACTAACGCTGGAAATGAAAGTTTTTTTTTAATTAACTTAAATTTAGTAATAGTAGTATTTGCAGCTCAATGAAGGTGCCTTAGTTTAATGCTATGGCATTTATTAAAACCAACAAACATATTGGTGAAAAATCGCTGATTAAATTAAATCAATTATATTTCTCCCATAGGCTCGCCAAGTCAGATAAGAGAGTGACTGATCAACAAGACGCCATATGCAGTAGTGTACTACATCAAATTGTTGTTTCAAGTTTCAGCCCCGCTCCTGTGCCAGGTAAGTCCACTACGGGCTCACCATAGCCCGTGCTACTTAGAACTTGTTCCGAGTAGCTGAATCTATAACAACAACAACATCAAATTGTTTGGGAGTGTGATAATGGTATGACAGAATACTTAGGAGCTACAAGCATTTTACCCCAAGAGTGTAACACTACTTATATGCTGTGTTCACTATATTAACCTGCAATGTTAAATGGGATTCTTGTACTGTAACTTGTGACTCACTGTGACTTGTACTATACTAACTCACTGGATTTGTGCGCCCCTTGAGGGACCTGAAGTAGAGGAGGGTAGGAATAGCCTAAGCTACTCTATCATATTGGAGATGTATTTTATCGTCTCAATAAACGTACTTGTACTTCAAAGCCACAAGGCTGAAGGGTTACTTATGCCCGTGCCACCTCTTGGGTGGATCAATCAATCAATCAATCAGATGCCACGACACGCCGGCTGCTGCATCTCATGTGTTCTTGAGTGTTTTCTAATTTCCAAGGAACTGTTAGCTTGAGTTCTTTGAGAATTAACCCGCGATGTTCCAGAGACTCGACAAACATAAGTGCCACAACGCGCTAGAAACATAAACAGTGCTGTAAATGGCACTGTTTATGCCTGAGTGCCGAGCCAGCACTCTGGCGTCTGGCGCCAGCACTCAGGCGTCTGGGGTGTCTGGCGCCAGCACTCAGGCGTCTGGCGCCAGCACTCAGGCGTCTGGGGTGTCTGGCGCCAGCACTCAGGCGTCTGGGGTGTCTGGCGCCAGCACTCAGGCGTCTGGGGTGTCTGGCGCCAGCACTCAGGCGTCTGGGGTGTCTGGCGCCAGCACTCAGGCGTCTGAGGTGTCTGGCGCCAGCACTCAGGTGTCTGGCGCCAGCACTCAGGCGTCTGAGGTGTCTGGCGCCAGCACTCAGGCGTCTGAGGTGTCTGGCGCCAGCACTCAGGCGTCTGAGGTGTCTGGCGCCAGCACTCAGGCGTCTGAGGTGTCTGGCGCCAGCACTCAGGCGTCTGAGGTGTCTGGCGCCAGCACCCAGGCGTCTGAGCCAGACGCCTCGTGTAACCAGCAACCACCAACCTACTGTGCTCTTTCCTCACAAACGGTGCTACATAGCCTTCAGGGTTTGGTGCCTTCTTTTGATAATTACTTACTTTCCTCACGAATGAACGAACGAAGGGTCGGTTAAAGACGTCCACCTAAGCCCCCCGTGGAACCTATTACCAAGTGTAGTTGTGACAGATTGGGGCCAGATTCACGAAGCACTTACGAACCCGTACATCTTTTTTTTCAAATTTTGGCGGCTTTTGTTTACAATTATTAAACAGGTAATGAGCTCCGGAGCACCAGGAGGCTGTTTATAACAATAACAACAGTTGATTGGCAAGTTTTCATGCTTGTAAACTGTTTAATAACTATAATCAAAGCCGTCAAAGATTGAGGAAAGATGTACACGTTCGTAAGTACTGGCGTGTAACTGCTTCGTGAATCAGGCTCCAGGTATTGTTGGAATTTACGTCAATCTTAATTATCATTAACTGTTTTTTCCCCTAGGTTCGCGGTTATATCGTGGGTTACCCCGAAGCAAGTATCTTCTTGAGGTGTCTTGAGATGATTTCGGGGCTTAGTGTCCCCGCGGCCCTGTCCTCGACCAGGCCTCCACCCCCCATGAAGCAGCCCGTGACAGGTGACTACTTTATAGTACGTTATAGATCTTTCACGTTATTTAATTGTTGTGATATTAAATTTGATTACAATTATTTATAAATTGTTCACAATAAATTATATTTATCGTAAATATTCCTGATTATTAGGCTAGGCCATAGTCGTCACTGGATTGGACAGCGCGTGAAGAAACTAATCAGTGATTTGGCTGTAATCAATAATCTCTTTATAAAATTCCACGTAGAAATTGTGAGCAAATATCCAAGGACAGCAACTTTATAAAGCATATGGTCACCTTTTTTCCCCAACATGTAAATTGCATGCATGAGTTTACTGCACTGGCAAAATCAGCTGTTTACTTTGGTTTACAGTAGATTTCTATTGTAGTTTACAATAGATTTTTATAGTAATATTTGTAACTTGTTGTTTTTAATGATAAGAGTAATTCAGCCATTGTTTTTAATTGAATATATTTCATTCTCAGTTTTTTTCTCGAATATATTTAAATTTACATATTTGCTTCAAGAATTAACTCAAGGAATTAAGTTGAGGAATAAACCCCCACATTGGTTAAGGGAGATGTAAATTTAATGTTCTAAATCCATCTTATACAACTCTAAACAACAATTTCCATACATTTTCATACAATTTCCATACAGTACATACCATACAAATATTAATGTATTGCATTTTTTTTTACAAAATGATTTTTAACAAAATAATTTAGCTGCTTTTGTGTTTTTATTGAAGTTATAAAATGCACTTACACTTTATTAAAAAAAAATAACAACTATTTATTCCACGTTTTGAAAATAAAATCATAACTCATTACCATTGTAGGCGATTAGGGGAAATAATAAGGGGCTCAAAACTATTAAATTTAAAGCAATGTCTAAGAAATAGCCAACAAATATTAATTACAAATTACTGCAATTTGTTCTCTTCTGATGCTTAGCAGCACACCTGAAATAGACAAAAAATAACACTGGTTGTAAACATTTCAAATAATTGTTAGATATTACAGTTTTCTCATGTAATATGAGATACTAGAACAAATCCACAAGGGCCGTGACGAGGATTCGAACCTACGTCCGAGATCATCCCAGACGCTGCCTTAATCGACTGAGCTACGACATGGTCAAAAAGAGTTGAAACCAGAAGTTCTACTGCCCTTACTTGTGGATTTGTTCATTGATGCATCACGTTATTGTAATTTCTGTGTGTAATGAGATACTAGCTCCGTCATACTAGCTTTTCTCTCGATTAGCCACTCGGTAAAAAAATATCAACTGATTGGCTAATCAGAGATGTATGAAGTTGAGCAATTCATCTAATCTATCGAGGCCGTTGCAAAGAAAACGTCAATATTGAATTGTTTTAATTTGTGCATTTTTGTTGTTGTTGCACATTTTTAGCAGTGGTAGATTTCGACGAAATTTCGAGAAAAGAAAATGCGACGTTTACCATAGATTAAACCGAGTGTCCAAATATTTACTGCATTGGGCGAGATTTAGACTGTAATAAAGGTTATCTAGAGATGATTTCGGGGCTTTAGTGTCCCCGCGGCCCGGTCCTCGACCAGGCCTCCACCCCCAGGAAGCAGCCCGTGACAGCTGGCTAACACCCAGGTACCTATTTTACTGCTAGGTAACAGGGGCATAGAGTGAAAGAGACTCTGCCCATTGTTTCTCACCGGCGCCCGGGATCGAACCCGGGACCACAGGATCACAAGTCCAGCGTGCTGTCCGCTTTGCAACCCGTTCTCGCACTTGCTTATAGTCAATATTGGCTTATTTAATAAGTACATATGTGACATACTAATTGATTGTGAATATTTTAGTTTACCTTGAAAAGCTTCATAGAAAACACCGACCTCACCTAACCTTCTTAGTATGTTAAGATAAGCATTATTGCTTCTTAAATACAATTATTACTTAACCTATACCGTTGATAGGTTAAGTAATAACCGCACGGCCGACCGGCTCCCCAAATTCTATTAATAATAATAATTAATAATAATAATTTTTATTTAGATAAGGTACATACATAAAGAGATTTTACAAAGTTTGTTGGCTTTATAGATAGAGCTAGTACATACAATGCCTAAAGCCACTATTACGCAAAGCGTTTCGGGCAGGAAAAACATTAATGACTAAAGCTTAAAACTAATGGGTAAAAAGAATAAAATGAAATTTCAAGAGGCTGCGGCATACATGAACAGAAAAACACAATCATATTGAAAACTTGTTTTTTTTCTTTGTACCAAACTGAAATGAAGAGACACCAGCGCCAAACACAATACACACACCAACATGAGGGTAAAAAAACAGGTCAACAAGATGACCGATAAAAAAGCTTGCTACGATAACATAAATCATTTACCTTTATATAGCCTATCACAGCAGCATGGGGTTGGGGGGGGTGGGGGGGGGAAGACCTCCTTACAGTTGCCAGTCCTGACATTCAGAGACCACACAGAGGGAGTAGTTGTAGACCCCAGCGAGGTAGGAGTAAGTCTTCCCGGCGTGTTCCTGCAAAAAGTTGGCAATGGGGCTTTATTCAAATGTGTGGGAAGGTCACCAACACCGCATGATACAATACAAGTGATGTTACATGATTTCTGAGGACCTGCTGCATGAGTAACAGCTTCTCTCCCCCCCCTGTCTTTGCGCCCTGGAAAGGCCACTCCAGACCGACAACCAGAGCGCAACTCTATAGTCTCCTGAGACTGACGGCTGCCTACTACTACTACTACTTGTTGAGAACAGGTTTTTTTGGGGGTATTGGGTTTAATGGGGTAACCCCCTCCTCCCTTCCTCCCGTGGTCACCCATCCAACTGCTGGTCAGACGCAACGATTACTTTAAAACCTTACTGACCGCGACACGGGCTCACCATCTAGTTTGACACACATGCTACTGAGCTGACCTCCATTGAGTACTAGTTCTACGTAACCCGTCCCCTATTTTGTCCCATTTCTGAACGAAACTCACTCCTTATTCAATCTTATTTTTGCACACTACTTGTTCCCCATTTAGTCCAATTCCATACACACTACCCATTCCCTATTTAGCCCTATTCCTACACACTACCTGTTTCCCATTTAGCCCTATTCCTAGACAGAACCTGTTCCCCATTTAGTCCTATTCCAACATACTACCTGTTCCCCTAGCCAAGCAAAGCAAGCTAAAACAGACACATATGACGTACCAAGTTCTCAAAGTTGGCAGTCCGTGCATAATATCTTGCCAAATTCATTTCAAGATAAAAAAGGCACTCCAAAATCAGGCTCCATTTATTTAGATCATTGGCCACGTGACCGACATACACCTAGAGGAGGGAAACAAATATACAAATGAAGTCATAGTATTATATTAAAAGTTATGTATTCTATTAAAGTATATATATATATATATATATATATATATATATATATATATTTTTTTTTTTTTTTAAAGCATTAAATTGACAATATATGATACACTGTTTAATTCCACTATTCCCCTCAAATAGTGCATGGATATATATATGTGTATATATATATATATATATATATATATATATATATATATATATATATATATATATATATATATATATATATATATATATATATATATATATATATATATATATATATATATATATATATATACATGTTAGGCTTATATCAAAGTCCCTCCGAAGTCGAAATAATGACCCTCTCCAGGATGCAGCCCCCCATTAAGCTGCCTAGCTCCTGCGTGCCTATTTACTGCTAGGTGAACAGGTGCACTAGGTGATAGTCGAGAACGGACCCAAATATACCACCAAGACCCATAAATATATATATATAACATAACCGAACATATTTATGTTACGCCATAGATTCCTTGAGATGAATTCTACGTGTCTCAGTTGAAGACAGATCTTGCAGGTGGGGGGGGGGGAGGGGATCTTGCAGGTGGGGGGGGAGGGGATCTTGCAGGTGGAGGGGGGGGAATCTTACTTGGTGAAGGGCTGTGAACGTTGCTATGTCATAGTAGGCAGAGGTCTTCTGTGTCCACGCGTCCAACTCTCGCTTCTTCACCATTGGTAAATATCCTTCAACGCACTTCCTAAAATAATAATAATAATTATAATCGGCAATAAATAAGAAATGAGTCACAATAACGTGGCTGAAGTATGTTGACCAGACCACACACACACACTAGAAGGTGAAGGGACGTCGACGACGTTTTCGATCCGTCCTGGACGATTCTCAAGTCGATTGTGTGATGGTCCCGAAACGTCGTCGTCCCTTCACCTTCTAGTGGTGTAGTCTGGTCATCATCAATAAATAAGCAAGTATGTAAATACATCAAAATATACAAATATCTCCTCTCATCGCCCCTCCAAAGAAGAGAAAGTAAGTATTTACCGAAATAAACAAACCAATATATCAAAGAAAAAGGGAGTTACCAGTGTCTTGTTATTAGGAATGAGTTTCCAAGAGAAGATAACCTACTCCACCTTCTGTCTATAGTGAGTCACATCCGCAACAGGAAAGTAAATAACAGCTCACTTGAAGCACCAAATATGTATTAAGAAAACACGTTAGCCAGAAAATAAAAGCGTGAACAAATCCACAAGGGCCGTGACGAGGATTCGAACCTGCGTCCGAGAACATCCCAGGTTCGAATCCTCGTCACGGCCCTTGTGGATTTGTTCATTTGATGCATCACGTTAGTGTGATCTTTGTGTGTGATAAAAGCGTGAATGTTGCAAACACAGTCAAGAGTTAATAACTGTGAGGAGTCCCACCGAAAACATTATCGTCAATGTAAAATATATTTCAAACAAATCAAGACAAGGATTAAGTTGATCCAAGAGGATACAAAAATGTCATGACATCTACAATGGCGGCGAGCAGGATGGATGGACTCAGCGCATATGGAAGGACTCGGTATATACATGTAAACATGGAAGCAAGTAGTGGGGATGACCGCATAGCGATGATTTTTTGTTTTGGAAAAAGGCATCGCTATGCTGTCATCTTTTTTAAAACTGTTTAATAGGTGGACTGGATTAATCCAGTCCATCTTTGGGGGATAAGTTAATTTGGGGTGTGTGAAGTAAATATCAGACTTCAGTTTGTTGTTGTTGTTGTTATAGATTCAGATACTCGGAACAAGTTCCAAGTAGCACGGGCTATGGTGAGCCCGTAATGGACTTACCTGGCACAGGAGCGGTGCCCCTGGACTTCAGTTCTTGGACTCGGCTCTTATAGTTCACGATATAAGAGGCGGGTCCAATCAAGTCACTCCATTGCCTCAAAATTATTTTTATTGAGTCATCACGCCATTGCGATTTCATTGTGATACATTACTAACCTTTGAGGCACGTCACGGCTCTTAGAACGGACGTGAACAGCAGCGTGCTTCCTGTCACCTGAAACACAAACAGTTTACTGAAACACAAAGTACTCTAGCGTTAACACCTTCATTCTAACATGAATAGTCCAACCACTTGGGCTGGACGGTAGAGCGACGGTCTCGCTTCATGCAGGTCGGCGTTCAATCCCCGACCGTCCAAGTGGTTGGACACCATTCCTTCACCCCGTCCCACCCCAAATCCTGATCCTGACCCCTTCCAAGTGCTATATAGTCGTAATGGCTTGGCGCTTTCCCCCCCTGATAGTTCCCTTCCCCTTCTAATATAAATAATTTAGTGTTTACAGTTAAGAAAGCGTTAGCTCAACCGCTTTACCTGACCCCTCCACGTCTCCTCCTGAAGAGGAGACGTGGATGTCTCCTCCTGAAGAGGAGGAGACGTGGATGTCTCCTCCTGAAGAGGAGGAGACGTGGATGTCTCCTCCTGAAGAGGAGGAGACGTGGATGTCTCCTCCTGAAGAGGAGGAGACGTGGATGTCTCCTCCTGAAGAGGAGGAGACGTGGATGTCACCCGCCAAACACACACCGAAACTACGACGTTGGTACAACGTTCGAACAAGTTTTAACACCTAACCAGTTATAACAACCAATATATCAAGTTGTAACAAGATTCTAAAACGTCATAAACACGTTAAGCCAAGATGTAACAACTTTATTACAAGTTGTAACAAGCGGAAAATAGAGACAGTTTCGGTGTGTGTTTCCAGGGTGCAGCTACTGTACTTCTCACTGTTGTTGTCTTTAAAGAACAAAGGCAAGCAAAAATTACTCGACTTTTTCAACCAACTGCACAACATTACTTAACCGCCATTTGTCATATACTATCCAAGCACACGCGGCTTTCATCAGTAGCAATATATATCATCACAGGAAAGTATAGTACGAGTTACATTTTAAAAACGTTGTCGTGTACGACTTATGAGATACTTGAGATAAACTATCGCCATTTGTGTGTAAAGGAGGAAATGTATATGTTTATCTCTCAGAATGTTCGGTAATATGTATATTGTTTGTGATGTGTGTCTATGTATGTATTAACACGATGTACTGAACGGGGTGAGAATAGCTTGACCTGCCTCATTCCTTTGTGTGTATTTTACCTCAATAAACTTATTTCAATTTCAATTTCGCCATTTGTTGACAGACATGACAGTCAGCTGTTACCGTATAGTGAGCCCAGCTATGGTAGGGCTCACTATACACCATGACAGCCACCTGTTACCGTATAGTGAGCCCAGCTATGGTAGGGCTCACTATACACTATGACAGTCAGCTGTTACCATATAGTGAGCCCAGCTATGGTAGGGCTCACTATACACTATGACAGTCACCTGTTACCGTATAGTGACCCCAGCTATGGTAGGGCTCACTATACACCATGACAGTAACCTGTTACCGTATAGTGAGCCCAGCTATGGTAGGGTCTATGACCAGAGACAATTGTGCAACTCTATACGTCACAGTTATTCTTCAAGAAGCCTAATACTAACTTAATATTTTGTAGCATTAATATTATTGCAGCATTATCTTCAAACTGAGTCAGTCATAAATGAATAATCATTTACATATATATATATATATATATATATATATATATATATATATATATATATATATATATATATTAATTTGATCGTTCCTTGATCCATATGTAATGTAATACTAATGGAATTTATTTAAATTATGTGTTTACATATTTTTTTGTCTTGCCAGCTACGTGTTCACTTACGAAAGCTGTGCATCTTTCTAGCGGATATTTACTATACGTTTTTGTTATAGACAAACCCGTAGAGCTACGGAGCTCATAAGCTGTTTTAGAAATAAATAAGCTGCCATAACTGACGAAGGATGTACAGGTTTCGTAAGTAGGCATGTAAACACTCGTTATAACATTAGTTGCAAAAAAAATATCTGATCCTAAGGATACAAATCTAAACTCCCTCACGAATCTTTGTGATTCGTGAAATACAAAAAAGTTTGACAAAAGAAAGACTTACTGAAATCCAGAATAACGTTGCTAATCCGCCCCTCGTTCTTCACGACCTTCCTACACTCTCTGGCGAGGTTGTCAGTAGCCACGTCCCTCCGGAACTTCACCCGCTGTGCGTAGTTATAAAACAATGGTTTAAACTGAATATATATCATTAAGGACTCTATGACCCGACCACGACTCGAACCTATACATTTTGCAACCCGTTCTCGCACTTGCTTATAGTCAATATTGGCATAGGTTAGGTCAGGTAGGTGTTTTCTATGAAGCTTTTCAAGGTAAACTTTAAATATTCACAATCAATTAGTATGTCACATATGCACTTATTAAATAAGCCAATATTGACTGTAAGCAAGTGCGAGAACGGGTTGCAACATTCCCAGGGCTCATCCTGCTGGACACGCAGTACGGGGGAAGGCTTGCGGGGCACCGCCATTCTTTCACACATATTGTCGTCTCCTACCTTTATTTATATATTTATAATGGTTTTATTTACAATTTATAACGCAGAATGAGTTACAAACTTAGTTACATACAAGGAACAAGGTCAATTGTTACGCTTGTCGAGTCCCTCCAGCTCCTCAGATGGTGTACAGGGATCATGAATGCAGTGATCATATCCCCGCTGAGATGCCACGCTCAGGCGCTCGAAATGCAAGCTGGTGGCTCTAGGGGTCTCTTGTTATTTTGATTAGCTTAGAACCCAGATCCTTAACAAACTAGTGACACTCTTATCCCACGCACCAAGTGTCTCGGAAGCAATGGTGATAAAATTGTAATGCAGGCGATGAGTCACAATAACGTGGCTAAAGTATGTTGACCAGACCACACACTAGAAGGTGAAGGGACGACGACGGACCGAAACGTCGTCGTCCCTTCACCTTCTAGTGTGTGGTCTGCTCAAAATTGTAATGTTAATCAGTTATCTGTACTTACAAGACTCAGCTGAATCCCTGTTGAGTGGCAGCACCACCCGGTTGTGCAACACTGATGTCGATATTGCTATTAGCCCAAGTGTAGTTCCACACCAATTGCTTGCCGTTCTTCCAGGGGTTAATTGTGATCTCATCTAGGCGACCAGCAGTAACATCAGAGTTACTGGGCGTTAGATAACAGGGTTCTCTCATTTGGATATCCAGCTGTGGTAAAGCCCCTCTTAATAATGTCATAAACGTCACTGTGCCTCGCGTGCCCTCCCTCTGTGCTTTGTCAGAGCTGGCCATCCTGGCAGTACCTGTCAGCCACCACCTAGCCGTAAAGACACCTATATTTGGTGAAGATTGAGGCAGGAAAGCAGAAGGCCACTGCGATTCAGTTGGCCTGTGGCTTGAGACATGCGCCAGTTGCCGACATTGGGGTTGCTAATAGGAAGTCACCCACATGGGGAGCTACTATTTCTGTGAGGCAAGCATTGACATGTGATGTTGCAGCATCTAGGCACACTGCAGCTGCACGGCCTACAATGACGCCATCCCAGCTGAATTGCTTGTGGATTTTGGATAGTGATGGTTTGAGTGCTGGGGCTGTGTGAGAGAGACCCATTTAGAGGCACAGTTTATAACGTTGGGATCATGTACGCCTGCCAGTTGGTCTAGGTAATAAATTAAAGTTTCCTTCGCCAAGTTGTGACATAATGTGTAGGAGATCAGGAAGGATTTTGCAGTGATTTGAGTTGTGCGAATGCAGAGAAGCCTCGACATTCCTTAGGGGATGAGGTTTGTTTCCACTGTAGGTCATTGAGGGGAATGTTAAGGGCTTTTTCTAATTGCGATTTCAGTAAGCAATCGTATTCACCTAACTTGTGGCCATTGTAAGATGGCTAACATCTCAGAAAGTAGGTTAACATAGGAAGTGAGAGACATCTGGTGATGAGGTCAAGTGTGTCATGAGCATCAATGTCCTTCCTCAATGCTCTCATCCATCCTCTTCCGGTCAGCTATTATAATATCAAGGACCTCGTCGATGGCTTTCCACCCAAGAGGAGCTCCTAGAAGTGTGCTGTCTTCAGGTTTTGTTACATGGGTATCAGGCAAAACATCCTTTATTTGATTAATAACTCGCTAGTTGGAACATTTTATTCAGCACTTAAAAAAAAGTTTACGGTGAGGCACGGATTTGCACCTTGTTCCTGGATTATTCTGATTATTATATGGATTATTATATGTCCTCCAGGAGGGAGTCTTTAGAACCAGGTAGGGTACCATTATGCAAGAACCAGAAATGAAGAGGAGCAAAGGGGAAGGGGGGGGGGCGAATCGCCCTGTTGGACACCTTCTTGCGAGCCAATTTCATGTTCGCTAAATAGTAGCTTTAGGTCCTTACTGTAGACCAGTAAGTTCATTAGAACTTCGGTTTCAACTCTTTTAACCCCTGTCGTAGCTCAGTCGATTAAGGCAGTGTCTGGGGTGCTCCCGGACGCAGGTTCGAATCCTCGTCACGGCCCTTGTGGATTTGTTCCTTACTATAGCCTCAAAGAAGACGACATGCAGCACCCGGGGGAGGCTTGTGAGGGCTCCCACGTGTGCTCACATATACATACTGTCTTCCACCACCCTCTTTGTATATGTAATAATTTTATTTTATTTGAAACTTTGATACGCAAAATGGGTAACAATACTAAACAAGGAAGTCATGCAGTATACAGACACAAAATATACACGCACTAAACAAAGAAGCCAAGCAAATATATACATACCATGTAGAGTAAAGCATGATACGTGTCTTGAAGATGCTCAGAAATCTTCTTCTGAGAAAGACAGTTGACTTTGCAGAGGTCGCAAGTGAACGTAGGCATCTTGTGGATGTCCTTACGATACACAAAGCCCACACCTGTAACGACGTTGTTGTTGTTATAGATTCAGTTACTCGGAACAAGTTCCAAGTAGCACGGGCTATGGTGAGCCCCGACAGAGGCGCGTGGGTGCTTTAACTTAGGGAAGGAATTTATCAGGGGAAAGCGCCAAGCCATTACGACTATATAGCACTTGGAAGGGGGGTCAGGATAAGGATTTGGGATGGGACGGAGGAAAGGAATGGTGCCCAATCAATTTCGGACGGTCGGGGATCGAACGCCGACCTGCCGCTAAACGACAGAATCAAGTGCGATGACTCATATGTTGTTGCTGCTAAAGATTCGCAACCTGGAACAAAAAGTTCAAAGTAGCACGGGCTATGGTGAGCCCGCAGAGGACTCATATGATTCACCTAAGTTGTTTAACGATTTGGCGGGGGTCGTATTCCGGAGAATATTAAGATTAAGGACTTGCCCGAAACGCTACGCGTGTTAGTGGCTCTACAAGAATGTAACAACTCTTGTATATATCTCAAAAAAAAAAAAAAAAAAAAAAAAAAAATCTACCCTACTGTACACCAACAATACTCAACAATCTACCCCACTGTACACCAACAATACTCAACAATCTACCCCACTGTACACCAACAATACTCAACAATCTACCCTACTGTACACCAACAATACTCAACAATCTACCCCACTGTACACCAACAATACTCAACAATCTACCCCACTGTACACCAACAATACTCAACAATCTACCCCACTGTACACCAACAATACTCAACAATCTACCCCACTGTACACCAACAATACCCAGCGATCTACGCACTATATAAATATATATATACCAACAGTACTCACCAACTATAGAAGATGATGAAGTATCTAAATAAAACTCGAGGGTCCCAACTTTGAAGAAATTCCTGGGCTCCGACAGGCTCTTCAAAGTGAGTTCTTCCTTGTCTAAGCCCCCCTTGTGCAGTCTCTGGCTTTGCCACAGCTGTACAGACGTAATGTCCTGGTTTGGTCTCAACGGTACTGAACTAATTACCTGGCTTTGTCTCATCTGCAAAGGAGGAAAGGAGTCTTGGATAAATACCAGCATGGTTATTGTAAGTCTGGATTAAAAAGAAATTTATATATATATATTACATATATATATATATATATATATATATATATATATATATATATATATATATATATATATATATATATATACATATATATATATAATATATATATATATATATATATATATATATATATATATATATATATATATATATATATATATATATATATATATTACATACCTTCTTATGGGCCTTTCCATCGTTATGACTCATGAAGGGGTCGTAGCCTTTCAAATCACAACGGCATACCTGTGTGCACGAATATAACGTAATTAATTCGTGTAATTTACGTGCATATACGTACTATTATTGTTTTAATTTTTGCATATTTTTTTTAGTATTTTTGGTCATTTTTTTCCCCTCAATCGCGATTTAATATTTATATGGATACTGTCTTATTGATATTAACACATTTGTCATTCTCACTTTCAAAAGAGGGGGCCCAGAGGTATTGCTCTAAACTGATATATATGAAGAAAATTTAATTTTTGTAGTAGTATCAGAGAGAACCAGTACCACAATACTCAGCAACATCAGAGAGAACCACTACCACCACACACAGCAACATCACAGAGAACCACCACCACAATACTCAGCAACATCAGAGAGAACCACTACCACCACACACAGCAACATCACAGAGAACCAGCACCACAATACTCAGCAACATCAGAGAGAACCAGCACCACAATACTCAGCAACATCAGAGAGAACCACTACCACCACACACAGCAACATCACAGAGAACCACCACCACAATACTCAGCAACATCAGAGAGAACCACTACCACCACACACAGCAACATCACAGAGAACCAGCACCACAATACTCAGCAACATCAGAGAGAACCAGCACCACAATACTCAGCAACATCAGAGAGAACCACTACCACCACACACAGCAACATCACAGAGAACCACCACCACAATACTCAGCAACATCAGAGAGAACCACTACCACCACACACAGCAACATCACAGAGAACCACCACCACAATACTCAGCAACATCAGAGAGAACCACTACCACCACACACAGCAACATCACAGAGAACCACCACCACCACACTCCAAATGCCAGGCTAAAAAATAACTTAACAGTGACTATAGAACCTAATACCTTTTTGTTGACACAAGGTGGGTACAGAAACAGACGATTGCTGACTGATAGCTGAGAACTTTCCCTTCCCCATAACTCATGGTAACCCTTGTTCACTAGTGTCTCTGGAATACGACCCACCAATCGTTCAACAACCTGGGTACCCAATAAATGCTGGGTGAACAGAGGCGTACAGGTAAGGGACTGGCGCCTAGTCAATCTTACCCAGCCAGGAGTCGAACCCTTGCCGAATCGCTCGCGACTGGCGCCATCAGGGACTGTTCTAGGCCTATTTGTTTTTTAATTCATTGTATCGGGGGGACAGGAAGCCAGAGTAAATTCATACGTTAGGCTTATATCTAACCTTCTTGTATATAAATAAATAAATACATAAATTACGCAGATAATGTCACAATAACGTAGCTGAAAAATATTGACCAAAACACAGACTAGAAATTGAAGGGACGATCGACGACGTTTCGGTCCATCCTGGACCACTATCGAGTCAACTGTCACAATCCTTAATAATTTTGTTGTATTTGTGTCTAGCTTCGTGGGGTTCAGTCCCTTAGCCCCTTATGTGCCTCTGTAACCCTTTCCTCTACCGCCCACAAGATGGATATGGAGTGCATAATAAATGAACTGTCGAAATAATATGAACTGTCTAAATAATATGAACTGTCTAAATAAAACTAATAAATGAACTAAAACTGTCACAATCGACTTGATAATGATTCAGGACGGACCATTATCAAGCTTTTAATGGTCAACATTAAATATTATATTGTGAGTGGAGAGATTAGTGCGGCAAAGGGGGGAGGGGGGGGGGTGAAATAAGTCACATAGATGCCCCATAGACGCTAATTAGCCTCTTAATTAGAGGTTAATTAGCGTCTATGGTTAAGGGAAGACACAATCAAGTGCTCACCGTGCATAACACCTTAAGTCGTATCTTCTGTTGATAATGGTCTTTCTCGGCTACATATTCATTTATAGGCTGTGTGTTGAACTTCAAATCTAGAACAAAATATAATAATTTTTTGTTAGCAAATACCGTAATTTGTAAAGGGCTTACTAAACGTTATGCGTACAGTTGTATACTGTATTAAACAAAATTGAACTAGGTAATTCTAGAGTTGAAATACAAAAATAAAATAAAAGTCACAAATTTATATATTATATCATTTTAATGTTATAGTTGAAAGTCTCACTAAGGCTTTAAATGTGTAAAGGAATTTTCACTATCCCTTAATAATAATAATAATAATAATAATAATAATAATAATAATAATAATAATAATAATAATAATAATAATAATAATAACAATAATAACAATATGGGAGGACAAATACTTGACAAATGTTAACTAGAGGCACAGTTAACATATGTTAATAACTAAGAGACAAACCCAAGACACTATACAGTCAAGTTAACAGTCATACCCAGGATCTGTTGGAGCACACTCTTATTGAAGTGGTCTTCCCAGAAGTCTCGCCTCGGGAAAAACATTTGGTAACAGGTCTCGAGATCATCAATCTGTGGAGAAATGCAATGTGCCCAAATAGCAAATAAATTATGACTCTTAGAGAATGCTTGTATTTGTACACATATTATACTTTGAGAGTGTCAGACCACGGAGGAAGAGTTGAAACAGGAATTTCCTTAAGTACTTTCGTATATTAATACATCTTCAGAAGGAATGAAGATGTATTAATATACGAAAAGTACTTCTGAAGATGTATTAATATACGAAAGTACTTAAGGAAATTCCTGTTTCAATTCTTCCTCCGTGGTCTGACACTGTCACATTTTTCATCACGTGTTAATTTTCGTGATTTACACACATATTCTACTTTAAAAGTCATTCATACTGTACAACACTTCCGTAATTAAAATTAAAATACCAAAGTTGAAGTGCTTCCACCTTGCCTGTTGTAATATACGTGTGTATAATATACATGTGTATATATTATTCTGTATGTTATTGCAAATACAATGTTGTTGTTAGTTCCACGTAATTATTGTGTGATAGAAAACTGAGAAACCTTAATATTCTGAATAACCTAACTCAAAGGAAATTTTAATTAAATGTAATTATCAAACGAAATCGTTAAGCCATAAGGCTATATAGCATTATATATATATATACCTTCTTAAAATTAACAATTAACCTAACCCAGATATGTAAATCAACACCTCGGAATTAAATACCTATATCTGAACTACAAATTGAACACTATTTTCATAGAGAACTTTGATCTTTCATCGTGTTAACACATAACAATCATTAAAATATTGATTAGCTACTAATTACATAAAATAATTACTTTAGTACAAAAACTTCGTTAATACTCACATTCTCATACACAGGACGGACAAAACTGAAAGAAAATAAGAAAAATTAATTATCTATAATATAAAGGAATGTCTGTTTGTGTCTCTAAGGCTGGAGGACAGACGCTTAGGGCTTGTCTCCCACAACTTTCCAAGGGGAATGGTCTTGGATACGGGACGGACAGAGGCTGGTCGTGGTAGGTTTAAATTAAATGCTTTAAGACATATTAGTACATAGAGACCGTCATGTAATTTTCATTTAGTTAAGTGTGAGATATTTGGTGTGATTCCATTAGAGTTTTTAGTGACCATAATAATACATTTTAGTTAAAAAGATTTCGCATTTTAAGTACATGATCATCATTCAGACTACGCCAGCGTGTTGCTGAAGCACTATACAAGCACTTCCAGCATAAATTCTACCCCCTGGATATACAACATCTTGCTGGTATCATTATAAATCGTAACTTCAACATTGAGACCGTTTATCGTGAAATGGGTCCAGATGATAACTATGACGTAACTCCCTTTGAAATAAAAACTGCACTCAAGAATGGTAGTAGAAATTGATATGGGTGTTTCACTAGCAGTGACAAAGAGAATACTTAAACAAATATCTAATGAAGATCTCACCGACCTAATAAATTCACAAAGACCTGAAAGTTTCAGTATTAAATATTATGATAGATATCGTGAGGAGACATTCATATATGGGACTAATAGAGCAAGAACTCGGCAATGTGAAGTTATAGTGGCCAGAATACGCCTGGGATATAGACGTATCTGGCAGCTTTCTCAAAACCCAAATGTCGAGTACACAATGTGTCAACTTTGTGAAAGAGAAAACATGCACTCACTTGAACATTATATTGTAGAATGTCCCATATTGTCCGACTTTCGCCCTCCTGGGCTGAGGTATGCTGAACCCTGTAACTACTATATGAGTACTGGAACACTTGATATATTGGACTTGTACCCTAGATTAACCATGTAATGTAACTATATAACCTGAGCTTGTAAAAACATCTTAATCACCTTCAGTGGTTAAGTTCTTAATAGCACACTAGTTTCTCTTGTCAGCTATCTCACCCTGTCAGAGTAAAAGAGACAAATATATGTGTATGTGTATATATGTATGTATGTATGTGTGTGTGTGTATGTATGTGTATAAAGTATAAAGCTGATCAGAATTACATTTCACCATTATAAATTCACATTAATGCATTCATAAATCTATGTATGTAGCTGAGCCTAACATTTTAAAAGCACTACGATCACCTTCTATGGTTGTTCAATAAATCTCTGAACTGTATGTTTGACAAATCTTTCACCCTGTCCATGGAGGACAGAAGAAAATGTATATATGCTAGTTAGCATTGTAAATGTGTAAATAATAATAATAAAACTTAAGAATGGTTACTCTACCTCTCCAGGAGAGGACGATGTAACATATAATGCCATGAGAGTACTAGCTGATCTAGCCTTAAAGAAAGGCTTAGGCTACTGAAAACATACTGGTAAGATTATTGGTATAAATATTAAATAATAATTCTTATAATAATAATGCTACCATTAATATGTTTGATTATTTTACAGGATTCCAATATCTAACAAACATCATGTAAATGCTGTTATCACGCCTTGCACCTAATGTTATCATGCTTTTCACCTAATTAACTTCCCCGCCTCTGTTTTGAATAAACTAAAATTAACACAGAATGAAGCCACGAGGGTGATTCTTGGTGCTCCAGATGCACAAGAATCATTAACATGACGGAAGAACTGAAGCTTCCAACCATACTAAAGAGAATCGTACAAGTCAGCATGACCTTTATCAATAGACACGAAAGACCCTGCATTATTCAGAGACAAATTTTGTGCCGTTAAGACTCTTAATAAGTGGTGCCAACATACCAACTCATTCCTCGTATGATAAATGGCAGAGTAAAAATACTTGCAATCTCGTCAAACTGAACATTTCCTTTTAAATGTAATCTACCACTGATATCCCTCTTTATCTGTATCCCACCATTCACGTATTATATACACACGTCACTAAGGTAATGAGAATATTGTCCTGCTCAAAGCTGTCACACTTCAAACAATTGCCTCCTTCATCAAAAACCCAAGATCCCACAATTAAGTACTGTGTCTACACCGATGGTTCAGTCCAATCATCAATAGAACGGACTGCAGCAGCATGTAAGTTTTCAAGAAACAATACTCGCACACAAGACTTATTACCGTCAGATTAAACACCTGGCTGCACTCAACGCAAACAGAACAAGTTAACCAGTACATTAAAACACAGGAGGAATAATATTCTGTGATTCAAAGTCTGCTCTTCAAGTACTTGAAAACTTCAGAAAGATCGACAGTAAACAAAACAAAGTCCCAAAGTGCTGAAAACACCAGTCTATAAAAAAAACATTTATTTGGATCTGATGTAAATGGGCAACTCAAAACGTCCAGCAGACAGTGCGACGGGATGAAGTTAGGCAACCGTTACCTGTGACAGGTGTATACACGTGACAAACCTTCGGAAAGTTAAGCTGAACTGATTGTGTGAACTGCTGAACTGAGTGTGTGAGTCACACAATCAATTCAGCAGCTGGCCATCAGTTCTGGCGAGCTATGAGGACACAAACTACTTACTCTTCCCAGTCCCCTTCAAATTCAACAGTCGTTCCTAAGGTTTCTAAAGACATTGTATGTGTGGGTGTAGGGAGACGCCGGCCAGAGCGTGCATCTAGTCTCCTCGACTGTTGGTTAACCTCTGGCCGAAAAATCGGCGTTTTCTTTCCATTACATAAAACTAGGCTTTTTAAAAAACCTTAAATGAAAATACTGTTTATGAATTAAACAATATTAAATATATTACGTGTATACACCTACTAATTTCTCTCATCTTTTATTTTTTTCTTGATATGTACTGTTATCATTTTTATAAATTTTGCTAGTATATTTACCTACTTAAAATTTTCTTAGATTAAGGACCTGCCCGAAACGCTGTGCGTACTAGTGGCTTTACAAGAATGTAATTACTAAGCTATGTATCCTCACAATCCCAATATACCTTCTTGTATATATATATGTATATATATATATATATATATATATATATATATATATATATATATATATATATATATATATATATATATATATATATATATATATATATATATACATATATATATATATATATATATACATATATATATATACATATATATATATATGTATATATATATATATATATATATATATATATATATATATATATATATATATATATATATATATATATATATATATATATATATATATATATATATATATATATGTATATATATATATATGTATATATATATATATATATATATATATATATATATATAAATTTATATATATATATATAAATAAATTAATAAGTACTTATTAACGTGTACACCTTTCCTCAATCTTTGACGGGTTTGGTTACATTTATTAAACAGTTTACAAGCAAGAAAACTTCCCAATCAATTGTTATTAGTGTTATAAACAGCCTCCTGGTGCTTCGGAGCTCATTAACTGTTACCTGTGGCAGGTGTATACAGGTGACAAACCTTCCGATCCTGACCGTTACGTGACAGGTGTATACACGTGACAAACCTTCCGATCCTGTTACCTGTGGCAGGTGTATACACGTGACAAACCTTCCTATCCTGACCGTTACCTGTGGCAGGTGTATACACGTGACAAGCCTTCCTATCCTGAGCGCCCTGGGAGCAAACTCTGTGAGCAGGAACTGGGCTATCATGATCTCACACACACACATACACATTATTGAACGGCCAGTCATTAGATCTTTCACACCTGCAGCTTCGCCATTACTCCACTGCTTCATATATTCTCCAGGATCTCATAATGCGCCTCAAATTCGCCGGTGCAGGAGCCTTTGATCGGAGAGAAGGTCTGGCTCCGAGGTCCACAATTAAGACCTTTAGTAGCTACACCACAACACCTTGTGGTGAAAAAAAAAGGTTCTTGCAACTCCTAAACTGAGTGTGTGAGTCACACAATCAGTTCAGCAGCTGGCCGTCAGTTCTGGCGAGCTATGAGGACACAAACTACTTACTCTTCCCAGTCCCCTTCAAATTCAACAGTCGTTCCTAAAGTTTCTAAAGACATTATATGTGTGGGTGTAGGGAGACGCCGGCCAGAGCGTGCGTCTAATCTCCTCGACTGTTGGTTAACCTCTGGCCGAAAAATCGGCGTTTTCTTTCCATTACATAAAACTAGGCTTTTTAAAGAACATTAAATGAAAATTCTGTTTATGAATTAAACAATATTAAATATATTTATGAACATATATAAATAAAAAATATTTACTGTATATGCATACCGTATATATATAAATTGACGTACAATTAAAATTTGAAAAAAAAATATTCATAAATAAATACATTAATAGATTTACATTCCATTAATATTTCTCCAAAATAGTGCCAATGATTCTCTTCTGAAACATCTATGGTATATATTAAGCCTTCAAATATTTAAGCAACAGTCACTAATAAATCTAATTTGCTCTTCTATAGCGTCGTTAAAATTTGTATCTTAGCCTTAGTCAATTTGCTAATATCGGAAACTAATTAATATATTCAAAGATATGCTTAACGGAGCTGTCAGTATATATATCCTAACCCTCCACAAAGATTTTTTCTAAAGCCTATTAAAACGTAGATTAAAATTAAATATATACATAATCAAAGCGGTTAAGTCGGATGCAAGTGTAATTCCGAATTAAGTTATTTTCGTAGACAAAATTAATGAATTATTAAGTAATTAAGACTTTTTAAACCGACAAAAAAGGCTTTAAATAAAAAAAAACTAATAAAGCTAAGAATCGTTTCATAGGTCCAGTTTCACATTAACTTTCTAGATGGTTACTCCAAAAGCTAAACCCATTTATAGAAAAATCTGCAATTCAATTTTAATTTGTAATATAGATCTACTCGTTATTTACAAACGTTCGTGTGTGTGGTTCACTAGGCTTAACTAACGCTAATAATGAATACACACTTTTCAATAATGTGGAGTGACAATGGCAATCCATTCTTCTTCTATAAAATATCAATTCTACATTCTGCTCCCTTATAACATATGGTATAGCTATAATTTAGTTATGGCCCTCAATATGAATATTGGCATGTTATCTAATTAACATTTCTAGCCCCTCTATTATAATCACAATAGAAACTGAACAAAATCTTGATCTAATATTCTGTTTTCTGCCTAAATGTGAACATCAATTTCTTTCTTTATTATGCACCCCATACCCATCCCGTGGGCGGTGGTGTAAAGGATTACAGAGGCACATAATCGGTTCAGGAACTGAACCCTCTAGTTCGTTTAGCTAAGCAAATAACAATTTTTGACGCTAGTTACAAAACTATTAATGTTATATATACATGTACACATACTCATGCATACATGTACATATACATACGTATACATATATACATACACATACATATTTAATCACCCACACAAATACACACATCAATAATCTTTTGTGTCACAAGTGATTCAATAAGAGGCTCACAACAGTCACTATACAAGGCACTTTACATCTATAGTGAGTCACACAGTTACTAGTCTTGCTCCACACCCATCCAACTGGGCGGCAGCTTTACAGTCATGTGCTCCACACCCACCCAACTGGGCGGCAGCTTTACAGTCATGTGCTCCACACCCACCCAACTGGGCGGCAGCTTTACAGTCATGTGCTCCACACCCACCCAACTGGGCGGCAGCTTTACAGTCATGTGCTCCACACCCACCCAACTGGGCGGCAGCTTTACAGTCATGTGCATGCATTACCTACAGTAAGCAAATTTTGGATACTTCGCTTAAATTTCGGGCAGCACATCATTATGAATGAAGTATTTACACATTTCTTGGACACTATTGATGGTGTTATCTCTAAATTCCGCGATTTTTTCACATTCCATTATATAATGACGCAAAGTATGCGAATAGTTCTACTGACAGAGTTTATATTTAGTCAAATCTACATCAGCAGATGTTACAAACTCCCATAGATACTTGTAGCCGAGCCTAAGCCTAGCAGTGGTAACTTCTAGAAGTCTGCTAACCTTATTGGATGACCCATAGACGTGCGGTACTTCCTACATAATAGAATGATGTTAGATGGAGTAACTGGTGTGAATTTCACTTTGCATCAAGTCTCAGAAAGTTAGTTGATGCTTCCCATATTGGTCTCCGAATGCATGATAGAACTGATGAGTTGGCCTACTTGCTTGTAAAGAGGGAATTGATTACCAACTTGGACTGCCTTTGAGCAGCCTGAGGGCAGTAATGTGAACATCATTTCATTTTTTTTTTGTATATAGAAAATCAACTACTGCGCAGCTATATGTACAGTTCTACTCCTTACACCTCAATATGTTTTTGAGAGTTTGTCCAACATGATGTCCTTTAAAGTATATTGATGATAAAAATCACTGAAACATGTAGCGTATAACCTATGCTTAAAATGTTGATTTGCAAGTGGATAGAAATACTGTTTTTAGCTTAAAAATCAGGAAGAATACATAATATAGAACACATTACATAATACCGTTTTATGTAAACATTACTTACATCCCTAAATTACTCATGTGCTTAAATATCGATGCGACATTTAGGAATCTTGGTAATAGAAATGTTTGAATGATAATTCACCTGATAACTATAATAAGGGTGTGTTCAAAATCCCTTCGCCATATTACTGGCATGTATTTCCACTTGTTTAGGTTAAACACGCCTAAGAAATCCATGCTCAATTGTCCTGTGCCGTGTCCTGGGGACTCTAGTACTGTGATACTCCATTATAGGGTCTAAAAGGGTAGCCTAAGCTACACAGTTTAATTTCTACAACTGCAATTACATCCAGGTTCCCCTCGTTTGTCCTTTCCTTCAGTTTGCTTGCTTTATTTGCAATCCCATCTAAGCGGTGTTCATGCACGATTTTAAAACATACTTCTTTCTTTGCATTATTACTTTCCGGGTTCCCTTATCCCGTCTCCCTGGCGTGGAGAATGTGTTGATGTGGGTGGCATATGGTGACCCCCCACAACAGTGACGAGTCTGTACACGTATCGAAGTTCGAAGCAGTTGTCAGTAAGGTGGCACTTGGATGGGGCGCCCACTACTTTGCAGTAATATTGACGCTGGAGTGTTGTCCCAGCGGTTTTCCATAATATGGGAAAGACGGAGGTTCTACGAGTCAACAACAGTGTGTGAATGAGACAGAACCTATCAGTTTCAGACAATGAGGGGACAGAGGGAAGATCCTAGTAATTTAGATCAATTTAGAGCAGTATGAGCGCGCGGGGCCCCGTGCTCTGTGGCGGGTGGCCGCCAGGGTCGTTGTCTTCCCCGGAAAGTAACCGCTCAGCGAGACGAAGGTTCATTGTTGTCATTTACTTTAATTTCTTTATTTTCTCGAAAGTTTACCAAAATAGGTATCAAAATGTCGGCACGTCGCGCCACCCACGCTGGCAGTTGGTACACTGACTCTGGTAGGTGGGAGGGGTTAATGTGGGGGGAATATGGTGGTGGGAGTGTGGTGGAGGCAGTACTGAGGTGACACGACCTCTCCCCCTCCTCACCCCACCTCTGAAACCAGGTCATCTTGGCCAGATATTATTTATATCTTGGTAATGCTGCTGCTCCGGGCGGCTCATCTCACGTTTTATTTCGTCATTTAATTCTATTTTGATGTGTCACATGTGCGGGGGTTTTCCCCTCATGCCATCTGGAGCTACATTCCTCTATTTCACGCCTCTCTCAAAACAACTTTCTCTTTGTCGTGAAAAACTTTTTAAAGTCATTATCACGGTTTTTTTATAATTTAATACATGACCTTATAGTAGTCATTTATAGACAAAATTAATTTTTCCACCGTTATATAGAAAACCCATAGGAGTGGTGAAATGTGCCTTACTCGAGTTGCTGCGACGAGTTATCGGGTCGTAGGCAACGAGAAAGCATCTTGGTCTGGGGCCCGACTTGGGCTGTCGGGAACAAGACCCTAGAACCTAGTAAATGCTTCCGTGTAAAAAATATTATCAATACATTAAAATGGGTACAATTTAGTTTTAGGGTTTTCAAGGATTTAATTAGCATGTTTTATTAATATATATATATATATATATATATATATATATATATATATATATGATAGGGAAAATATACCTTTTATTGTTTCCAGTAGAGCTTTAGTAAATTTATTTCTCAGATGTGATCAAGGCATGATTTCTTTTGAGATGTCTTGGGTAATGTGTGTGTGTGTGTGTGTTGCTTTACAAGTATATAATCATGTAATCATTTGCTTTACAAGTATTAAATCATTTAAATTAATGAAATATATAATAATTAGTGTGTGCTTTATTATGTTATGGTTTATTTAGGTAAAAATAAATTCATAATTAAAATAGAAGTCTCCCTTTTGTAACTTTCAGTACTGAAACCTAGTTAAAAAATAAATAATTAATAACGTATATTCATTTACTTTTTCATAATATTTTGATATTTTATAGCAAGTATTAATTCATTTTATTTAATCATTCCATTTGTTGCTTTGTATAATTATTACACTTTTTTTATGGTTTTAACATGTAACCTGTTTCTACAGTACAGTACTTATAAAACTTGGTTGACTGGCTTAACTTATCTATTTGATTCGTTGCTGTAGTTTTGAGGCTTTAGTTATATCAGTTGATTTCCTGTTATATTATTTTATATATTGCTATACAGTACTTTATTGTTTGATACACAGTATTGCTGTATTATTGTATCAATTGCTATATTACTTTATCTATTGCTATGGTACTTGATGCATTGCTATGTTATTTGATCTGTTGTTATACCCACAGCCACAGATCTAGCTCGCCAGCTGGAAGGATGGCTAGGACAGGCAGACCTCTCACACGGACCAGCACGTGCCATAATTGCTCCGTAAGTTTGTCGTAAATGTGAATTGTAAGGTTTAAAATAGTGTAATAAATTTATTGCACAATGAAATCACATTAACATGATGTATCAATGAGAGTACTGTACCATAGGGGAAAACCAAGTGAGCGGGTGCGAATCCTTCACATTGCTCCTACAGATTTTCTCCTAAACTTATTAATAGCTCTATGCAGACGAGGAGTCACAATAACGTGGCTAAAATATGTCGACCAAACCACACACTTGAAAGTGAAGTGACGACGACATTTCGGTCCGTCCTGGACCATTCTCAAGTCGATTGTCGACCATTCTCACAATTGTCTTTGAGACTGGTTCAGGACGAACCCAAACGTCATTGTCGCCTCACTTTCTAGTTTGCGTGGTTTGGTCAACATAATAGCTCTATTCTCGGTGAGCACGAGAATGCATTATACTTCTCGGTGAACACGAGAAAGCATTATACTTCTCGGCAAACACGAGAAAGCATTATACTTCTCGGCGAACACGAGAATGCATTATACTTCTCGGCGAACACGAGAATGCATTATACTTCTCGGCAAAAACGAGAATGCATTATACTTCTCGGCAAACACGAGAATGCATTATACTTCTCGGCGAATACGAGAATGCATTATACTTCTCGGCGAACAAGAGAATGCATTATATTTCTTGGTGAACACGAGAGAATGCATTATACTTCTCGGCGAACACGAGAATGCATTATACTTCTCGGCGAACACGAGAATGCATTATACTTCTCGGCGAAAACGAGAATGCATTATACTTCTCGGCGAACACGAGAATGCATTATACTTCTCGGCGAACATGAGAATGCATTATACTTCTCAGTAAAGACAAGAATGCATTATACTTCTCAGTGAAGACAAGAATGCATTATACTTCTCAGTGAAGATGAGAATGCATTATACTTCTCAGTGAACATGAGAATGCATTATACTTCTCAGTGAAGACAAGAATGCATTATACTTCTCAGCGAACACAAGAATGCATTATACTTCTCAGTGAAGACAAGAATGCATTATACTTCTCAGTGAAGACAAGAATGCATTATACTTCTCAGTGAAGACAAGAATGCATTATACTTCTCAGTGAAGACAAGAATGCATTATACTTCTCAGTGAAGATGAGAATGCATTATACTTCTTGGTGAACACAAGAATGCATTATACTTCTCGGTGAGCACGAGAATGCATTATACTTCTCGGTGAGCACGAGAATGCATTATACTTCTCGGCGAGCACGAGAATGCATTATACTTCTCGGCGAGCACGAGAATGCATTATACTTCTCGGCGAACACGAGAATGCATTATACTTCTCGGCGAACACGAGAATGCATTATACTTCTCGGCGAGCACGAGAATGCATTATAGTTCTCGGCGAGCACGAGAATGCATTATACTTCTCGGCGAACACGAGAATGCATTATACTTCTTGGCGAACACGAGAATGCATTATACTTCTCGGCAAACACGAGAATGCATTATACTTCTCGGCGAACATGAGAATGCATTATACTTCTCAGGACTGTTACTTCCAGAACTGCTGCTTGAGTTAAAATGCTTGACTGTACTATACAGTACATGGTAATGACACATTAGTTATCCTGTTTATTCAAAAATGTTATGTGAGAGTGTAGACTGTAGAAAATGTATATACAGTGATAAATATGTGTGCTGTACAGTACTGTGAAATCTTGATAATAATTTTCACACTAATTCAGACCAGAGTACAGTACAGTACGCTACAGTAGTACAGTGTATTAATTATTTGGACAATCAACGTTTTTTCTGTTTTTACTGGCAATTTTTGTCTTTTGAAAATCATTGAACACATAGTTACACAAGAGTACAAATAATATATTAACTGTGAATTTTAATACTGTATAAACATGCATTAATAACAATATAGTCAATATGCAGGCGATGAGTCACAATAACGTGGCTGAAGTATGTTGACCAGACCACACACTAGAAGGTGACGGAACGACGACGTTTCGGTCCGTCCTGGACCATTCTCAAGTCTATGGAGCCGGTGGCTGAGCGGACAGAACACTGGACACGTGATCCTGTGGTCCCGGGTTCGATCCCAGGCGCCGGCGAGAAATAATGGGCAGAGTTTCTTTCACCCTATGCCCCTGTTACCTAGCAGTAAATAGGTACCTGGGTGTTAGTCAGCTGTCACGGGCTGCTTCCTGAGGGTGGAGGCCTGGTCGAGGACCGGGCCGCGGGGACACTAAAGCCCCGAAATCATCTCAAGATAACCTCAAGAAGTCGATTGTGAATGGTCCCTTCACCTTCTAGTGTGTGGTCTGGTCAACAATATAGTCAAAACTGCATTATTTCAAAAAGATAATTACAGTATGCATACTGTCAGTATGGTTTATTGAAACTGTCTAGATTAACAAAGCACCCCCCCCCCCTGATGTAGATCATTAAGATTTCTTGGTGGTAAATACTTTCCTTCCAGATGGTCAGGGGTTTCTGGAGTGGTCCCGTCCAGAATCTCGAGGTGCCACTGTACTGTAATTACACATGTGGAGACCTCTGTATTCATTAGTAGAATTGCTAATAAAATATATTTGTTATGGAATTTAGTCATTGTACAGGTACTGTAAAATTTATTTACAATATTGCTAAATATTTAATGGATAGATACCTTCCTGGGGGCAACTATTTTTCTTGTGACGGAGAGGATTGTGTGTTTCTCTTATGGCTTAGCATGGGCTATACTTTGTTGGGCCCTCCATGCTTGAAATGTACAGTATTCAATCTATTAAAGGACCTCTTATTTACCATTCCACCGGTTCTAACAACCGAATTTTAGATTGTTAACTGATGCTTTATTTACAGTCATTGGCCATTAAATCCGGAATACGGTATTGAGTTTAGAGAGTCCGGTATGTCTTAAACTGGAGGCCACTATTAGGTTTGTTTCGACAATCTTGCCTTCGCTGGGGCAGCGGTTACATTTTTTTCCCTTCACAGCTGTCACTTTTTCTGTTATGCAGCATATAATCAGAGCTAGTCACAGTCTCAACCAGTCAGAGGTAGATACAGTCAAGTCACAGTCAGTCAGTCAGTCAGGCATTCAGAATCACAAGTCAGTCAGTCATAACTAGTCAAGGGCAGTTAGGCATTCACAGTTGTGATGGCAACCAGTCACTTTGTAAACAACATGAGTCTGACGTCATTTACAGAACACAAACTTTATGTACTCTCACGAACCTAATGTACCTTCTTGTAAATAAATAAAGATGTCAGGCATGGCAGTTTGCCTCTAAGGCCACTAGCTGGTAGGAAGGTAGCCAAGAATGTGAACCCTACCGTATTAATTCCATACCAACTGTCTAGACGTGGCTGGAGAGGTAGGATGTAGTGGGGATGGGGGGAGCTGAGGTGATGGATCAGGCGTGATCACAGCCAGTCTGTGTTAGTCTGCCTGCCACCCAGCCAGTCAAACCCAACCTGCCCGCCCAAACCCACCTAAGCCCAGCTCCCCACCCGAACCCACCCAAGCCCGGTTACCTGCCCGAACCTACCCAAGCCCGGCTACTTGCCCGAACCCACCCAAGCATGCCTACCCGCCCAAACCCACCCAAGCCTGCCTACCCGCCCGAACCCACCCAAGCCTGCCTACCCGCCCGAACCCACCCAAGCCTGCCTACCCACCCGCCTACCCGCCTGAACCCACCCAAGCCCGCCTACCCGCCCGAACCCACCCAAGCCTGCCTACCCGCCCGAACCCACCCAAGTGCACCTACCCGCCCGAACCCACCCCAGCCCACTTGCCCAAGCCCACCAATCCTGCCCGCCAGTTTGCCATCAATCCATCCAACCACACTGCCCACTCACCCAGCCAGCCTGCCTGCCCATGTACCTACCCCCTCCACCTGCCTTCCAGTCAGCCACCAATCCATCCACCTACCTACCCACCCATCCACCTGCCCACCCAGCTTGCCTGCCTCCTTGTCAGTCAAGTCAGCCACCAATCCATCCATCCATTCATTCATCCATCCACCCCGTTCTGCCCACCCACCTGCTAACCCTGCCTGCCCATCAGCCACACTTATCCACCCCACCAGCCATCATCCCTGCTCATCCACCCACCAGTCAGTCAAAATTCCATCCTCCCCACCTGCTGGCCAGCCTGCCAGTCGGCAACCAATCCATCTACCCCACCCACCCTACCTGCCCACTAGACAGCCAGTCCACCTTCCCACCCCCACTCCTGCCTGTCTGCCAGCCAGCCAGCCAGTCAGCCAGCCAGCCAGTCAGTCAGTCACCAATTCATCCATCCATCCAGCCAGGTCACTTGCCTGCCCACCCACCTTCCAGCCAGTTAACCAGCCAGCCAGCCAGCCAGCCAGCCAGCCAGCCAGCCAGCCAGCCAGTTAACCAGCCAGCCAGCCAGCCAGCCAGCCAGCCAGCCAGCCAGCCAGCCAGCCCACCCGCCCGTTTAGTATACATACAATAATAAAGAGTGTATGGTAATAAATAAATGTAAAGTATAACTGTTTAAATATCTTTTTATGTGATGTTTAACCCTTAAATGACTAAGCTAATGGAAAATCCTACATTGTGGTGCACAGGAGGTTATCTCAGATAGTGATGGAGTTGGATAAGGGATAAATCTTTTGTTCTTGAGAAATCTTTTTCAAGAATTAGACAATTCAGAGGAGCCTCTAGGCCTCCCTATTTCCAACACGTTCCATTTATTTTATGGCATTTTTCCTTTGTCAAACTTCATTCCCCCCCCCCCCAGACCTTTTGATTGCTTTTGCCCTTTTGATAGCCGTACTGATATTTCCTACTTAATGGGTTTCAGACATGCGGGCTATCAGTACAGTGGCGCTGTGGGTGCCTATGCCTATCGACAAGTTTCTCCAGTTGTAGTGTGAGTATTTTTGTATATTAGTCTGATGTATGGCGTCATTTGAAAAAGGAATTAGCATGTATTGAAATGCATCTCTATACTGCACTGCATACAGTATAGGTACATAAAAATGAAAAAAAAGGTTATTAGGAATTTACACTAGTTTGTTAATCAAATTGAATTGACTCACAACGAAGTCATTTTAATATTGAGAACATAATTGGTTAAAGAAGTCAACAGGTAAACACAGATAAATTGAATATACATCCCTACTTTGATAGCTAGATATATGGGGTACAAAGTAAGCAAGAGCTATAAGAAGGTGTGAAATTACATGTTAATGAGTGATTATATTAAAGAATCATAGATATATACATATATATATTGCTGCAAGAATAATCACAAAAAACACGTGATTTGGTTATGCATAAGTATCCACTTGGAAAATTAAACCAATTCCAAACGTTTTCGTGTTTCAACACATTATCGCGTTGAAACATGAAAACGTTTGGAATTTTTGTTTCATTTTCCCAGTAAATACTTATGCATTTATAATGGTATAAGAATCAGGGGAGGGAGGGAATTATCAGAGGAAAGCACCTAGTCATTATGACTATATAGCACTCGGAAGGGGGCAGGATAAGAATTTGGGATGGAACGGGGGAAGGAATGGTGCCCAACCACCTGGATGGTCGGGGATTGAACGCCAACCTGTATGAAGCGAGACCGTCACTCTACCGTCCAGCCCAAGTGGTTGGGCGAGGTATAAGCCCAAGTTGGTATAAGAATAAATGAATGATAGTTTAGAAAATAATTTAACTTTTATGGAGAAAGTTTGGTTAACCATTGTCGGAGACAAGAAGCCTCTTAGTGGAACCAGTGACAGACAATTTATCTGTTTTCATTTGTCTGAAAAATGTTGCCCTTTCCAGTCAAAACTGCTGAATTTTGTAGGCCATGTAAATTTTCTCATTTCACTGTGGCTGGTTGAGCCTTTGGTCATGTACCTATTCTTACCTTCTCTTGAGGTGCCCTCCCCTGGTTTCTTTCTCTGTCCTCCTCATACAGAAGCTCATCTGTTTCCCAAAAGCACCTTCAGATGCACTGTTGAACTGTGTGTGGAAATTTCTAGAGAGAATCTGCTATATATTTTATGTGGAATTAGGTTACAGGGTTCCTTATTTATTACATTCATTTTAATCTTAAACTACACTTTAGCGAACAAATGTTGTTTTATCTGGGGGCCAGATTCACGAAGCAGTTACGCAAGCACTTACGAACCTGTACATCATTTTTCAATTTTTGCCGGCTTTGTTTACAATTATTAAACAGTTAATGAGCTCTGAAGCACCAGGAGGCTATTTATAACAATAACAACAGTTGATTGGGTAGTTTTCATGCTTGTAAACTGTTTAATAAATATAACCAAAGCCGTCAAAGATTGAGGAAAGATGTACACGTTCGTAAGTACTTGCGTAACTGCTTCGTGAATCTGGCCCCTGGTGACTAACAACAGCACTAGTGACTATCCTATATACAGTAATACCATAGTGATATAAATATTTCAGCCCATCCTCCGATAAGGATAGTACTTATACTGTGGCAATTATTTCAATTTATTAGTATACATTATTGGTACATGAATGAACAAAAAGGACTGTTGGACCCAAAAAGGTAAATGTTTTGAATGAACCGAAATGGCATATTAAAAAATGGAAAAGTTACTAAAGAATCTAACCTAACTTGTCCAAGGCATAAATAAATAATCATAAGCCTAATATACACTGTCTAGGCCTAGGATTTTTTTTTTTTTGTTTACTCGTGCTCTGTACAAAATTATTACTGTGGTACAGTGTGTAAACATTGCTGGTTGGAACCGTCCATTTTTGCATGACCAAATAGTTGCTCTTAGTACTGTGTTATTATTTAAGGAGGATGGGTTGAAATATTTAAAATGTGCTCATTAAATATTGGGAATAAAGACTGAAGCGTTGACGTTATATTTTGGTGACTATATAACAACGTGGAAGATAAAACATAATTATATACAGCCATAAAATATGGATGAAGAAGTTGTACCAAATATGGATTTGGTACAATTACCAAAGTAAAGAAATTAGCTGAAAAGGATTAGGTATTGAATGGTTGATTAAAGAAATCCTTGTGCTGTTGCAGTTGGAGTAAGTGAAAGTCAGTGTCTTTGTGAGAGGTAAGCAAATACAGTATGGATAAATGAATGTATAAATTAACCTTATAATATGAAACTGATTGTTCACTGGTCTAGACAGGAAATAATAGGAGACTAGGTATGGAAATTGGCCTTCTATTGCAAAATAGTACATAACTAACATTAACAATCATAAGCAAATTACACATTATTTATGCAATATCTTCATTTTACCAGGAAACGTGTCTTCATCTTGGGTCCATCACACCATGTTAGATTATCTGGGTGTGCATTATCGTCACTAACGAAGTATCGAACACCTCTTTATGACTTGATAGTTGACCAACAAGGTTAGTGGCAAATGGCATTTTTCTTTTGTTTTGAGATATACTGTACCTTGCTCTGACCTTTAAATGACTCGGCTCATTGAAAGCCCTACATTGTGGTGCCTTTGAAAAATTCTTCACACAACACTTGACATAAAATCAAATTTGGCAATTCAAGTACTCGCAGGTAATTGCAGATAGCATTGGGAGCCATTTAAGGGTTAAAAACTTACAAACACATTTGTGCACTAAATACTACAGCATAATGTAGAGCCAGCACTGTCACTCCAGCATTACATCCACAGGCAGACCCTCTGCTTCATACAACCCTGGTCTAAAGTAATTCATACAAATTCTTACTTTAAAAACATGTAAAATATTCACTTTTCTGATTCCATCTACAGTAGTCCCATTTTCTATAACTTTTCATGTTTTGTTCACAGTCAGTCCCTGCTACCTTATACACACACTCACCATGTCACAGTCAGTCCCTGCTACCTTATACACACACTCACCGTGTCACAGTCACTCCCTGCTACCTTATACACACACTCACCGTGTCACAGTCACTCCCTGCTACCTTATACACACACTCACCGTGTCACAGTCACTCCCTGCTACCTTATACACACACTCACCATGTCAGTCAGTCCCTGCTACCTTATACACACACTCACCGTGTCACAGTCACTCCCTGCTACCTTATACACACACTCACCATGTCACAGTCAGTCCCTGCTACCTTATACACACACTCACCGTGTCACAGTCACTCCCTGCTACCTTATACACACACTCACCGTGTCACAGTCAGTCCCTGCTACCTTATACACACACTCACCATGTCACAGTCACTCCCTGCTACCTTATACACACACTCACCGTGTCACAGTCAGTCCCTGCTACCTTATACACACACTCACTGTGTCACAGTCACTCCCTGCTACCTTATACACACACTCACCGTGTCACAGTCAGTCCCTGCTACCTTATACACACACTCACCGTGTCACAGTCACTCCCTGCTACCTTATACACACACTCACCGTGTCACAGTCAGTCCCTGCTACCTTATACACACACTCACCATGTCACAGTCAGTCCCTGCTACCTTATACACACACTCACCATGTCACAGTCACTCCCTGCTACCTTATACACACACTCACCGTGTCACAGTCAGTCCCTGCTACCTTATACACACACTCACCGTGTCACAGTCAGTCCCTGCTACCTTATACACACACTCACCATGTCACAGTCAGTCCCTGCTACCTTATACACACACTCACCGTGTCACAGTCAGTCCCTGCTACCTTATACACACACTCACCATGTCACAGTCAGTCCCTGCTACCTTATACACACACTCACCATGTCACAGTCAGTCCCTGCTACCTTATACACACACTCACCATGTCACAGTCAGTCCCTGCTACCTTATACACACACTCACCATGTCACAGTCAGTCCCTGCTACCTTATACACACACTCACCATGTCACAGTCAGTCCCTGCTACCTTATACACACACTCACCATGTCACAGTCAGTCCCTGCTACCTTATACACACACTCACCATGTCACAGTCAGTCCCTGCTACCTTATACACACACTCACCATGTCACAGTCAGTCCCCGCTACCTTATACACACACTCACCATGTCTGTTCACCCTCATCACCTTTGAATTCCTCACCTTCTACCTGCAAATTCATTTGAACCTTCTTAACTATTATTATTATTATCCATTTGTTCAATTTGGGCAATATATTATCCAAACTTTTTCAGTTAACTCTTTGTAGACTTACGAATCAAACTACAGACTTTGGTACTCCACATCTTTCTTTACATTTTCATTCCTCACTCTATCTATCCTTCAAATGCAACTGCATCCTAACTCTTACAGCTCAGCTTATCCTAACTGCACAGGTCTTTAACTGTTGAGTGTTTGTGCTCACGTCACACCAGCATCTCAAATTGGTTCAGAAGGGTGGGGGCACTGCCACACACCTTCGTGTAGCCCTCTTGTTGTTTATTTTTCTCTCTCTAGTCTAGCCATGGTCTTTATGACACCAGTCACTTAATGTTGTGACTTTACTCTTAACCTCTCCTGCGCGCACCTCTCCTGTGTGCACCTCTCCTGCACGCACCTCTCCTGCGTGCACCTCTCCTTCGTGCACCTCTCCTGCGCGCACCCCTTCTCTCAGCTACAGGACCCAGCAATTTAAACTTGATTAACTATTTCTGGGACTTCTCTCCTTTGACCACAGTTTCACAAACTAGCTTTCCTTCTCTCTTTACCATTATTACTTTCCTTCTCCCTCTCTCCACCATTATTACTTTCCTTCTCTCTCTCTCTCTCTCTCCATCATTATTACTTTACTTATCTCTCCACCATTATTGGTCTCGCTTCATGCAGGTCGGCGTTCGATTCCCGACCATCCGAGTGTTGGGCACCATTCCTTCCCACCTGTCCCATCCCAAATCCTTATCCCGACCCCTTCCCAGTGCTATGTAGTCGAAATGGCTTGGCACTTTCCCCCCCTGATAGTTCCTCTCTCCACCATTATTACTTTACTTTTATCTACATTCACTTGTAGGTGTCCTATATGGTACTGTACTATATAGTCTCCCCGAGGCTTGGTGCCTTCTTCTGATAATGACTGACTTGTAGCTGTCCAAATATTTATCTAATTCAAATCTATCCCAATCATTATTTGCTAGAAGATCTTCAACATCTGCAGACATTATATTACATTAACTCCTCCATGTTCCAGTATGAATCACTTTCTGAAACAGCTTGCAACAATATCATGGGGGGAAGATGGAATGTCATGATCATAGTGGCTGTTGCTGTAACTAGAAATAAGCAATAACACATACATCTTGTAATAAAGTAGAGTGTATGTTAGAGTATATAAATATTACATTTCTGAGCATCATTATTCCGCCACGCCTGTAGGTGTAATGATTACATGTGTATGATAATAGGATCACAGCCTAGTCAGCTAGGAAAGCACACAGCACTGATGCCACATGGACTATGCCACCTCTTTACGACTACTGTACTTGAAGGTGCTTTGGGGTCATCGGAAAAGAGTATCACTCAGGACAGGGCAACATATACAGTATTGAGAAAGGGTTTGGACACAAGCCCAGAGGAAAATGACTGCCTTTGGTGTCACATGTAACAGCTGCTTAGATAAAAGTGAGCGCTTTGTCCTGGGTTTGTATCCTGGCCGGGAAGGATTGACTGGGCGTTAGTCCGTAACTGTAGCCTCTGTTTACCCAACAGTAAAATGGGTACCTGGTTGTTAAACGATTTGGCGGGCTGTATTCCAGGGAACATAGGATTAAGGACCTGCCCAAAATGCTATGCGTGCTAATGGCCAAACAAAAATATAAGAACGCTTGTACATATAAATAAATAAATTTAAAAAAAGGGCTGGATTTTCTCTTTTATGAAACGGTTCAGAGTTTTGCTTCACTCTAAGGACCTGGCACTAAAATCTGTTCCTTCTTTACTGTCCTGGCTACAGATAGGAGAGTGAGTGAGATGTATTGATTTCTTTAGTTGGAAGGCATTATTTTGTTTAGTCTGGGGTTTTATTTGTTATAATAAATCTTTACATGATATTTTTAGCAAAAATGGAGACCTGTGCTTGGAGGCATTAGTGCATCATTGTTAATGACTGAGAGCTGGTAAGCATGACATACAATACACTCAAACTGGTGGAGCACTTCATGGATACTTGTGAGCTCCTACATCTTGTGCATTAGATAATCTCATCTTGAATCCAAAGACATTGCCATCTTACTCAAAAGCCAGGGTTTACAGTTGTTTGCTAACTAGTTCAGCTGAATTACCCATAGATCAATACCAGGTGTGGAGAACCTGTAGCCTTAAGGCCATATGTGGCCTTTTGTTGTACTGTACTCGGTGTGGCCTTCAAAAGCAATATAAATTAATGAATCTTGATATGTAAGTTTTTTTTACATATTTGAGTGCATACAGCACATAATGCAATGTGTGGTCTTGTGTTGCTATGGGTGGGGATGCATGAGAAGTGTAGTGGGTGTGTGGACATGGTCTGCTTCACAGCATTGCTGCCACTTGAGGGTGGGGCAGGAATAGAAAGCTGTAGTTTCATTGCCAGTTAAGCTAGTCTAAGCTTCCTGTGGCAGTCATGTATGTGCCACTAAGGGCATTCATTTGTGTCTGGGCTTGTGAACTAACCTTTTCTGTATACTTGCTATTCTGACCCGAGTGACACTTCTTACCAATGACTCCCATGCATATTTAAATTATACTAGAAGGGCACTAGTCTCCCTGTGGCATTTGTGCTGTGCACTTTAACGATCACTGGGCTGTGATCACATTAGGGCACAGTTGATCTCTTTATTTATGGGGGAAGGCAGAATAACATGCTCCGAATATGTTCTGGCGGTGGTATGAGGAATTTTTGTAGCACTTTTTATTAATAACATATATAGGGATTATTGATGTATTACTTTGCAGTTTACAATGAGCTGTATCAGACAGGCCACTTCGAGACTATGAGTGTGTCTGCTGACGAAGATGAGCACAGCATTGAAATGCACCTCCCCTATGTTGCAAAAGTTATGGAAGAGTGAGTTTATCTGTTTCTTATTCTTATACACTATTACCTTTTAATGAACATATATGGTAGCAGCAATTTATAAGGAAATGTGGCTTGTTTTATATATGGTATGTATGAACAAATGTGTATATGTTTGGAGTGTTTATGTATGGACATGTACAATATGTATATACAGTGTGTGTGTGGGTGGTATATTATAAACATAATATACAGTGTGTATTCACCTAGTTATATTCACCTAGTTGTGCTTGCGAAGGTTGAGCTCTGCTCTTTCGGCCTGCCTGTCAACTGTAAATGAATCGACTGTTACTAAACTACTGTACTAACTACTGTATTTTTTTTTTCTCTCACACACACACACACACACACACACATCCCAGGAAGCACCCCGTAACAGCTGTCTAACTCCCAGGTACCTATTTACTGCTAGGTAAACAGGTGCATCAGAGTGAAAGAAACTCTGCCCGTTTGTTTCTGCTTCTGCCGGGGACCAAACCCGGGCCCTTAGGACTACGATCCCAGAGCACTGTCCACTCAGCCACGAGGTCCCCAACCTCGTGTGTGTGTGTATGTGTGTAATTACTTAAGTGTAATTACCTAAGTATAGTTACAGGATGAGAGCTACGCTCATTGTGTCCCGTCTTCCCAGCACTCTTTGTCCTCCTCCTTTGTCCTGTCCTTAACGCTTTGAAATCACTGATGGTTTTGGCCTCCACCATCTTCTCACCTAACCTGTTCCAACAGTCTACCACTCTGTTTACAAAAGTGAATTTTCTTATACTTCTCCGGCAGAAATGTGTGTGTGTGTGTGTGTATTCACCTAGTTTTATTCACCTAGTTGTGCTTGCGGGGGTTGAGCTCGGCTCTTTCGGCCCGCCTCTCAAGTGTCAATCAACTGTTACCAACTACTATTTTTTTTTTCTCCCCCACACCACACACACACACCCCTGGAAGCAGCCCGTGACAGCTGACTAACTCCCAGGTACCTATTTACTGCTTGGTAACAGGGGCATTAGGGTGAAAGAAACTCTGCCCATTGTTTCTCACCAGCGCCCAGAATCGAACCTGGGACCACAGGATCACGCGTCCAGCGTGCTGTCCGCTCAGCCACCGGCCGTGTGTGTGTGACTGAGAAATATATGTAGTAGATATGATAGACAAAAATAAGTAGGTGTCAGTACATTAGCCATTACAATGGTTAGAAAGGTGGGGTCCACGATATATGCTAAGTCCTGCAGGCACAAATAGTAAATACACATACATACATATACATGCTTATATACAGTACATACAATCATAAACATATACATGCATACAGTATATACTGTATATACATATATCAAATTTATATGTAATGGCCTCTCTTGCTTCTATACAGTATTTGATATTTGACACTTGGCTTCGATATATATAATGTGTTTTCTACTGTACAAATTTAATTGCATAAAAATTGACATTGCAATTCTTCTCAAATTTGTATGCTTATTTGCACAATACAACACTAACAACTTAAAAATTGACTTTTTCAAAACTGCCTGTTTACTTATCTCTGCCTTAAACCTTTCCTTTTGCACAAGATTTTTAGTCAGTTTCTTGGGAATGCAACTGCATTAGTCTCCGTGGTGCAGTGGTAAGATACTCGCCTGGCGTTCCGCGAGCGCTTTGTCATGGGTTCGTATCCTGGCCGGGGAGGATTTACTGGGCGCAAATCCTTAACCGTAGCCTCTGTTTAACTCAACAGTAAAATGTGTACTTGGTTGTAAAAAGGATTCTTCGCGGCGGGGATCGTATTCCAGGGACTTGCCCAAAACGCTACGCGTACTAGTGGCTGTACAAGAATGTAACAACTCTTGTATATATCTCAAAAAAAAAAAAAAAAAAAAAAAATTGACTGTTGTCACTGTCTAATATATACACATCAGCCCGGTATAGCTCCAGGGAGACTCCGGGTCTCACTTAGAAAATGGCGATTCATTACATTCAACGCTGTTTTTTTTTTTGTATCGATTTACAGTACCTTAATAATCTTTTTTTAAAGACTAAAGTAGTGGCAATGAGTCAAATTTTTTTTTTTTTTTTTTTAATTCATGAAACCAAAAAGAACAGAAACACACATGGAATCACTCTCCCATTTAATTAATTAATTTAAAGTGTAATTTATTATTTCAGCAGTTAAAGGTTTTAGTAAAATTCTATATTTAGGTTTAATTTTGATGCAGCGTTGTTTACCCATTTAGACATGTCACGGAGCTGCACTTTGGGAAATAGGGTTTAGCTCTAGGCCGTGTGGTAGACCAGGAATGAGGATTAAGTGATAATAGTCAAATTCACCCCATGTGTGTGTGGGAGATAAGAGTATTAATAATATCTCTCTTAATTTTGCTCGAATTGCATTTTAATTATTTTCATAGATAAGTACAATACAAATACTTGAAATAGAAGTGTGGGCTGTTGAAGAGCCATTAAGCAGAGTTAAAACAAAATTCCTTGGTTAGTTTTTATTTTGAGTCTGACATAATTTTGTTCACTTATAATAGCAGGGATTGGCATCAACACACAGGGCGGTGAAGGTTTGATCAGGCAGATATGTTATTGGTGCTCAATATGTTTAGTTATAATTACCAATGATTAGCATCAATGTGCAAGCCAGTGTCAGCTAGATCATGCGGGTACTGCATGTACTGTAATTGGTCATAATATATTTACCGCCTGGGTTTCGACTACAGAGGTTTTGGCCACAGGTATGGAATGGCCTGTGATGTGGTCACTTAAGGGTTCCCTTGTTGTATTTTTGTTAAAAATCAATGCAAAGATTTGTGTTGCATACTTCCTACTTTGATACTGTTTTCTATAATTAATGCAGGAAATCCATAACTTGTGGAAACATATTTGGGTATACTGTAGTACAGTACTGTCTTCTTGTTTCTTAATCTTTGTCTTGTGTTATAACACATTGTCTACTTATATTGTTTACACGCATGTCATAGGTTTAGGAACGGTTTATATCTTAGATCATGTTTCTCTCCTTTTGACTTTACTTAGCATACTTAATTTGTAAAGAATGGCCTAGTTCCATTTTGCTCTAATGATCTTTTCTCGGCTGTATGTATTTGTATCTGGTACAGTCATAACCTTCACCCATCACTTGAATTGGTTTCTATTGCGTACTTGAAGATGCTCTCGAGTCAATGTTAGAAGAGGACATTATAATCCATGGCATCACTTGCCTGTGCTGGTCAATATACTTAAGCTTCTGATCTTTACAAAAACACAGTGCCCACATTATCTATACCGATTACAGGTACTTTGCATGAGTTATTAAAAATAGGCTTCCTACTCATACCTCATCTGGTGTTGCATAATTTATATACAGTACTGTACTATGTAAATATTGATTGACAGTTGCACTTTGTTAAATATTATTTTTGTTTGTGTTTTGATTACATAATTTTTATTGCGAATTGCTTTTATGTCGGGTACAGAAAGTTTAAATTTCCTTTAATTTGAAATTGATATGAAGATGCTACAGCACAGTCATGGGCCACATTATGCAGATTTTCTCACAGATATTCTAATCAAATTATTAATAGGTATTTTTATGATTTATGTGATTTACCATTTCACTTGAGAATGAGCAGTGATTTTTTTTTGTGGCTCAGTTTCCGGGACCACTTCACCATTGTCCCAATCTTAGTGGGATCACTGACGCCTGAACGAGAGATACTGTATGGACGACTTCTTGCACCATATTTAGCGGATCCTCAAGTGAGTATTTCACAAAATTACACCTTGACACAGTCTACATCAGAATGTATCTTCAGCTCGCCATAATCTGCAAGCCAACAAACACGAATTATTTGTCAATACAATGATGGTAAAACCTGGAAGGGAAGTAACTAGTGGTTGGCAGTATGGCAGCAGAACGGTGAGTGTGGCATTTTTATATCCATTCTAAATATTTAATGTTTTAGAGTTCACTTGCCCTGGTTTTCTGTTGCTCAGCTTTATATAATTTATATGTTTGTTGTATTTGTGAGCTTAGACATTTGGTTTCTCCATAATGCAAGAACCTCCTTGCCCTAGGATAGGTGTGTGTGTGTTTAATCAGGGCATGCTGGTAATCTGCATTGGGCCAACATAAATATTTTCAGTTTACCTGTAAACAAATCCACAAGGGCCGTGACGAGGATTCGAACCTGCGTCCGGGAGCATCCCAGACACTGCCCTTGTGGATTTGTTCATTTGATGCATCACGTTATTGTGATCTCTGTGTGTGAGTTTACCTGTATTCTTGCCAGGTCATACTGATGCTAGGAAGATACTGCAGGATATCAATCCAGCCCCGAATGACCACCATAAATCACATTCCAAAATACTTGAAGCCCTTAACATTAATTGGCAACCCGAAGAATGCTGGTTGTTCCACCTGGCTGCTACTCCCGTCTCCCCCTGGTTGGCGGCATCTGACATAAATACTTTGTTCCCTGAATCAAGCTACCTCACAATCTAACTGACTTGCCCCATACTGGGTGTTAGGTAGGCAAAAGTTTGGAGGTTAGTTAAGCAACTTGGTGTTTATCCTTCAAAACTCATGTTGCATTGAGTAGTGGGCTTATGCTATTACAGTACTGTAATAAATACTTGTCTTGTGGATGTATGCCAGTCATTTGTGTGTTTCATGACCAACTGGGTGTGCTGGTTTGGCTAGTGCATTTATATCGGAGAATATTTATGCATTGATATCATCTCGAGTCTTCCACTACATTCACATTATTTGTTATAGACTCTTGGCTATTCATTCTTGGTCTTTGGCACCTGCCTCTTTGTGGCTGATCAATGTGTGTATATAGTTGTGGGTGGCTAAAGGCACTTAAAGAGGCACCATGTCATCATCGAATTCACCAAATTCCATAATAACAACTTACTGCTACAGCCCAATCAGTATGACTCGTTATGGACCGTTTTAAAAGATAATTGATGCACTGGTGCAGATTGTTGACTTGCCCTAATTAAAACCTGTGCTGGAGCCAAGAGAGTCCTCCTACCTTGGGGAGAAATCAAGTGATTCAGAAACATACATTTTGTTATATTGGTACTTAAAGCCTGGTTTTTAATGTCAGAATTCTTTTGCCAGTAGTAAGTAGCATGCCCATCAGATTTCTCATAACAGTTCTTCTGAGTAGGAGGATTGATTGAAAATGTTAGATTACGAGGAGAGACTTCGAACAGAAAACTTGGATGAGCGTAACTAGTAAGCTTTGATTTTTGTGGAAAGACCTTCTGGCAAGTCATCTGAGTATTTTGCAGTGACTTTGTCAGCAAAATATGGGCTGAATGGATGCTTGAGAATTTTATATACTGTGTGTTTTCCTGCTTGACTGTATTATACATTTTTAAGGATACAGTGATATTTTGCTTAAGGAAATGGCCAACTGATGTCACAAAATGAAGCTTTACACAAAAATCTAAGCCTTATTTTTTTAGATTTCAAGACAATCTTATTGTCCTGTACCTCGTGTAACTCGCATACAGTATTCAAAATTATTTAAAAAAAGGAAAGTTATAGTCTTCACAAATATTTTCTGTTAAGAAGGGTGATAGCATTGAAGATAAATCTATGGAAACAAAGTTTCAACTGTAAATATTGTACTGTTAAGGTCCTGTTCATCCTAACTTCAGTTAACTAGAATTTTCCTGTAACCGAACAGCTTTAAGATTATTTGGATACTTCACAGCTTTTCTCCATAATCCAGAAGAGGTATGATTATTGGAATAAATTTTGATCCAATCCACTGTTTATGCAATCCCTCAGACAGTATCAGGATACTAGTGCAGTATTCTCAATTCATCCAGACTTCACACTTGCTGTTTTTCCACTGGCCACACAGACTCTGCCATCTTGTGTGATGAATTTGCTCGAGGTTCTTGAGCTGCTTAACTGTACTGAATACCTTCAGTGAATCAGCGGTAACCCTAATGATAATTCTTTTGTTTGGCTTGCACACATCACACGATGTGATGGCTGAAGTAACGTCAAAATTTAATATTCACTTCAAGTTATTAACGGTGGAAATGTCAGGAAGGCATGTTGCGGTGTAACATCGGGCATTGTGGCATTGCATTGTAACCTGCCTGCCTGCCTGCCTGCCTGCCTGCCTGCTTGCAGGTAGGCAGGCAAACACTTTCAAGCAAGTAGACAATTATGGTACAATACAACCTTAAGAAATTTGCCCATTTTGACATTAAAAGTGCTATGAAGAACATCAAAGTCTATAGTTTCTATACTCACCTATTACAAAAAACATGTTGAAAATTGCCTGAAGAAGAACACGAACACATTGACAATGACCCGAGATCAAGAACAGGTTGAAAGTACCGAGTCCCAAAGAAGATACTGAACAAAGATATTAATAGTAATGCAAGTGAATAAGACACAAACCTGTGTTTGCTCCTTATTTATGCCCAGTTCACTTTGAGCACATATTAGTATGTATAAATGGGGCTTTATATATGTTTGTTTTGACAATGAAGAATCTGCTTCATTAATAAATAACTGAAATAGGTAAATTTTTATTTCTGCATATTTATCAACATTCTCTTCCTGGGAGAGCCATCCCTGGTGCCTACTTGAGGCCGTCTTGCTGAGATTGTGCCGTGCTTAAAAGGTCACATCAGTTGTGGAAGTTTTAACATGTACTGGGTTGATATTGGGGTTCTGGCAGCCCGGTATTTAACCCTTAAGCTGCTAAGGGGTCCTGAGGAGATTTACATCCATGTGCACAAGAAAAAAAAAATTCTAAAAAATTATTTCGTCTTCTAGAAATGTTAATTTGTGTTCCCTGAGCATGGAAAAAAAAATCGTAGGTGACATATTTTGGGCGCAATACGCCGAGGAAGTCTGGCAAAATGTGGGCGTTGACAGAGCAGTCGTCAAAGGTGGTCAGCGTCACCTGAGGTGACAGGCGGGAGTTGCCACAAAAATATTATTACCTAATTATTTCAATATCTCTGATTGATTTTTTCTTAATTTTTTTTCAGTAATATTATTCAATAGTGTGTAGTGTGATATATTTATATAATAAGAGGTGAATCATCGCTATTCTCAAAAGTATGGTGTGCATATTAGCGATTCAATTATTATGTTCATAAAACAATAAACGAATAGTTTTGCTGTTATTACACTATATACACAGGTTATATATAAGTATCTGCATGTTTTGTTCACCATAACAAACCTCTAAGTTGGTATTGTGAGTCAAAAAGCAACAAAGAGTGGCTGCCACACACCAGTCAGCCACTCACTGTCACTCCTCCCTCAACAACACCTCACTAGCCCACATTTTCCTCCCACCATACTGTTTTGCTTTTATTCACTGTATACAGACGTTATATAGAGAACCACTGAGCTGGTATGGTGAATGCAGGCAATAACAGGTGACCACACAGTCTCCCTCCCTCCCTCAGCATCACTCCTCCCACATAGCACTAATTATCACAACAATCCTGCTATTATCACAATCCTGGTCATTGTTATCACAGACAGGAGTCATCTGTAATACTGTCATCGCTAAATAATAGCAGTTACATATTTATTTTGACATTCTGAGGCGATGCTGTGGTCACAAGCTGAACAGCAATGCTGTTAGCTCATGCTGCATGCACCAGCCTTGGTTGCTCCCATAGTACTGTGGCTCTCACACTGGAGAATATTACCCATGATTTTTTTAAAGCATGGCGTCTGTTTACAAGAGCCCTGAGGAAGGTTTTTACCCTGTGTAGCTGCAGGCCATTTGAATCGTGCCTGGCACCCTTTGGTGTATATATACGCCATGCACACGGTGGGACATGTTACTCATGACGTGTATATATATATATGCCATGCGCAGTTTAAGGGTTAAACAATGTTCCCGGTCCCAAATGGTCTCGTGTTGCTTCAGGTCATGTCGGCCTGCATGGTTTTTCTTCTTCCTAATGCCTGCTGTCTCTCCTCCCTGGTAAAACCCATTCTCTGTGGCTGTGGTTAGCTTCATGGAGCCACTGGGAGGCTCCTCAGAAACCCAGAATTGAATGTAATAAAACACCTCTTTCTAGTAGAGCCCCAGTGGCTTCCTCCGTTCCAGGTTCATTGGCGAGTTGTTTATTTACTCTAGAACTGACCAGGGAAGCTGGCTGCAGGCAGGGAGCAGGGCTGCCTGGTGATCTATCTTGAGGTTATCTTGAGATGATTTCTTGGCTTTTTAGTGTCCCCGTGGCCCGGTCCTTGACCAGGCCTCCACCCCCAGGAAGCAGCCCGTGACGGTGATGGTGATTGGTACTAAAGAGTTTCAAACTACAGTACAGTAGTTTGAGTGAATTTCTTGTTCCATGTTAATCATTTGCAGAGTTGTGGAATTCTTAGGCTTCATTTTCTGTGAACCCTCCAGTTGTTTGTAAAGCTTCACTGACTTTCTGGATACTTTCACAGTAGGGTAAGGAATTGTCACTCGCTCCCTGCGTCTCTGTGAGTGGGCCAAGTTCTGGCTCTGGTCCCTGGTAGGCCAAACAGAACCTCTGCAACTGATGTGACCTTTTAACATAGCAAAATCTTGGCAAGATATCTTCAGGGAGCCAATGAGGCTCTACCAGAAAGAGGCATTTCATTACATTCAATGCTAGGTTTTTATTTTGTTAATTTTTTCTTTTCTTAGAGCTTGTTTGTGATATCCTCGGACTTCTGCCACTGGGGACAGCGCTTCCGATACACATATTATGATCGCTCTGTGGGTGAGATTTGGCAATCCATACAAAAACTTGACAAGCAAGGGATGAACCTGATTGAGACATTAAACCCGAGTGCCTTTACCGAGTACCTGAAAAAGTACGGCAACACAATCTGTGGCCGACACCCCATTGGCGTCTTGCTCAACGTAAGTACAGTACCATTATTAGGTTCTCCCCAAAGGGATACCATATATATTTTATTTTATTATTTGTTTCAATTTTACAGAGTCCATGCAATGTCTAGAGCAGTGCTACTCAAGCTTAGTACCCTTGAAATAATTCTGGGTCGTTACTTTAGATACACACACATGGGTTTTGTTGTCAACTGAAGGGAGATGATTTCTGTTTTTGCTCTTGATACTGGTTAAATGAGGAAAATTAGACACAAAAAATGACTCAGAAATATATTTGCGTATGATTAGAATTAGCCTAATTACCACTTGTCTCTTTCTGAACCCCTAGTTACCCTGGGGGTTTCATGGAACCCCAGTTGAGAAATGATGATCTAGAAATGCCTTCACACATTAGCTTGAAATTATTAGATGATCGCGTTATCAAATTAATATAAATTACTCCCATTTGCAGGCAGTTGCAACTTTACAGAAGACAAGCAATGGGCACCGAATGTTGCTCAAATTCTTGCAGTATGCCCAGTCATCCCGCTGCTACACTTCTTCGGACTCTTCCGTATCCTATGCTGCAGCTTCTCTTATATTTGAGTAAACCTTAGGTACCCATAATGAGGTGCATTTAGGAGTAGGGGGAATGGATCAAGAAAAATCACATAGGTAGACAAATTCAATTGATTTTCAGTATTTATTGTTTCCGTGAAATTTATATAAATAATAACATCGGTAATTTGTTTTATAGGAGTCTTATTATGGAGACTTCCCTCTGTAGACTTTATCATTATTGCCAAACCCTCCTGCTCCCAAAATGCATCCCCACCCAGGACTGGGGGGCTGGTTGCCTGGTTGGCAGTAATTCTGTATCTGTCCTGAGAGAGCATGAAACATCTATACTCTCGGTGAATATTTGCCCAGTTCCCAATCTTAAGATAACATGCATTTAAATGACCTCTTTCCATGCGAACATTGCATCGTATGCTTGAGATTGACGATTGGGTAACTCTTTTTGTTTTGTTTTTGGTGATTTGACACTCAGGGCCATTTTATAACAAGTGCTTGTAATGATATAATAATGTATGTGTAGGTTATTATTTGCCTTCAAATAATGACCACCTTTTCTTTTGAATATCCAGTCAAGTAGCCCCATCCCCCTGCCAATGTCTCCTGTGATGCTCTGGAATAATTGAATGTTCATTTTGGATTGAGGTCTTGCAATTGTCGCTTCACCGTGGAGCCTCAGAACTGACATTCAGTATAACTATTGGTTTAAAAAGTTTCTTGACCAGTCATTGGGGGTAATTACAATTTCTTTGCAACAGTTGCAATGTCAAGAAAGATTAAAATTTAGCAATTGGACTTTTATGTCTTGAATTTCAACTTTTATTCGAGAATTAAAATATTTTGCCTAAACTCTAACAATTTGGATTCGAGTAAAACCATTCTCATTTTGTTTTTGTTACCTACAAAAAACAAAACAAAAAAAAACAAGAAATTGCATGCCAAGGCAAGAGCCAGGAAAGTTGCCTTGATAAGATAATGGGGGAGTTGGTGCTCCACGTTGCTTGCCGCTGTCGGGAGCCCTTCTCCAAAGCAAAGGTTTTCCTTCAACATGTACTCTTTTTTTTTATTGGTAATTTAGTAAGTCTTTGATTTTCCTCTTTAACACATTTAGTTTAGTTTTTCAGCTTAACTACAATATAGCCCAGATCTATGTTTACCTACAAGTGTGAAGGTTTAGGTTATTGGTTTAATATTTATTGTGTACACGGGAATGAGGGCAGGAGTGTGTGTTGGGGTGTGCATACACATGCCTGTATGTCTATTTGGGTGTCCTGCGTGTGCATATTTATATATGTGCATGTGTGTGCACATATACGCATGCATGCATGTTGATGTATGTGTGTGTGTGCAGATGTACCCATATGTGCATATGTATATGGATGTGGCATATGTGCAGTCACAGATTTATATAAAATACATACATGCATATTATGTGATTAAATTACTACAATGAAATTGACAATTATGCTTATTATTGATAAACTCTCTATCAATATTTATTTTCAACTATCATTCCGAACAAAAACCACCCGTACCATATCATGTATCATCTACTACTTTAGAAGAAGGTGCCATTTTGCAGCATTTTACTATTTATCACATCAAAATTGTTTACAAAATTATTATTTAAATTAGCATCTCATTATATTTTCTTCTCTTAACCCCTGCACTGCGCAAATTGCCTTTAGGCGCTCTGAGAGTTGTGCTATTCTTTTTTTTTAATTAGGCTATATTTTAATGTTTTTTAATGTTTTCATTACTGTTTGTGTTTTTAAATGAAAATAGTTGAGTTTGGAAACAGTTTGACATTAAATTTACCTGAATCTTTATGTAAACAACAAGAATATGTCCTTGACAATTGCCCCAAGAAGTTTTTGCCGAAAACAGGTGCGCAGTGCAGGGGTTAAGCATCAATATGTTTAGGTATATTTATTTAACATGGAGTACAGTATTTATATGACAATTTACAACTATTGGTTGGTGAGGTTTGCTAATTTAGAACCAAAATTTAAGATTTCTGATCATAGCTTTCTTGTTTTGAATCTAGCAAGCCTTGCTTCTGTACAGTCATGATTCACTTCTGCATTTACTGAATTTTTAGGAGTTATTTAATTTGCTGCAAATACAGTATAATAAATTACTTGCTGCTATTTCTCCGTAGCAGCATATAGAATGCCATTGTTGAATACCACACGTAACTTTCTTGCAAGTTGAAGCATCTGCTGTTTATCTTGGTGCCCAGCGGCACTCTTCAGAAAGTACACTTTACCCCTAGATCACAAAACTCGCATTATGCTGTATGCTTGCAGCTTGGATGCACATGCTGTATGTTCGCAGCATGAGTGTATGTGCTTCAGCCAGAGGAGCAGTGAGTATATTGGGCAGTCCATAAATACTGTACAAAGTTGACACCTGCAATAATTGTCTTCTTGCTGATTGATCAACATCTTTGCCTCCCTTATAAACTCTATATGGTTTTGCATGTTGTTAGCAGTTTGGGTAAATGGAATTAAGTGCACATCTGTGAGGAGGAAATTTCTGAGGTGTGTAGCTCAGTTAATCTACCTTGAAGCTTGGCAGTCTATATTAAAACTCAGTGACTCTGCCTTGGTCAGAGTCCAAGCTACTCAGTTAGTCTACCTTGGTGCTTGCTTAATTAGTCTATCTTAGAACTTGGTTTACCTTACAATGGGCAGAGTTTCTTTCACCCTACGCCCCTGTTACCTAGCAGTAAAATAGGTACCTGGGTGTTAGTCAGCTGTCACGGGCTGCTTCCTGGGGGTGGAGGCCTAGTCGAGGACCGGGCCGCGGGGACACTAAACAGCCCCGAAATCATCTCAAGATAACCTTGAAGATCAGTTTATTTTATCTTCAATGCTTTGTAATGATTCTCTGCAAATCTAAAGTTTTTCCCTTGTACGTATATTGCCACTGTTATTATTTTGCAATACAGTGTAATATTTGATTTTTATTACAATTTTTAATTTCAGGAAATTATTTATAATCCTTTTGTCACAGTTAATTTTTAGATTACAGAACACTACATTTTCTAAATTTTTTATTGGACTCTGTAGTGTAGGAGTTACAGTGCCGTTCTGTATGTTACAGGCAGGAAAGGAGTTTTTGTATCTGGGGTTTTGACCACATTTTGATATGTCCCTGTGATTGTCATTCTAGAAGTAATGGATTTTTATTACGTAGCTATTACCCTTAGCAAACTTTTTGACATAAAGAAAACAATCCTTATTTTTGTTAATTATCAAATTTATTGATGAAAGTCTGTCAAGAGTTTGTACTCGCCTAATTATGCATACCGGGATTTTGAGCTTTGGTTCTTTGGCCCCCCACCCCCCCTCCCTGTCTCAATAGCACAGTTGCTATCTAAGTATGTAAGACAAAGAGTGCTGGGAAGACGGGACACCACGAGCGTAGCTCTCATCCTGTAACTACACTTAGGTAATTAGTAGTCTTGAATTTCAGATGGTGTATGTTTGAGTTTTGTATTGAAAATATTTTATAACAAAATCAATGAAACAAAACTGGATTTTATTGGTAAAATTAGATGTTTGCACTGATTAAACTCATAGGGGGTTTTAGAATGTATGGGTCATGAAGGCAACATACAACAGCTAATGTGTATCCACTGTATTGGATAAAGTAGTAATTTGAGAAATCGTACTTTACAAAATTATGTTCGGTACTCGGGATATTAAATAATTGAATTAATGAGTAATGTGGATTGGTTTCATAGTTACACATATCCATATTTGTAAGAAATACATATAGTGTAAACATGCTATATTAAAACAAATGATAAAAAATTTCAGTAATCACTTATCTATGTATGGCATAAAATCAAATGTGCTGTATGTCAAGGGGGCTGTACAGTTATCATATATAACTTGGTTTACTTAATTTGCTTAAGCTCAGTATACATTGATTTTTAATTTCCTGTAGCACTTAAGACTATAAGACATTCGAACAAGCTTTGCCGTGAATCAGGTTTTGCATATTTCTACAGAATTTAGGTATGTTAACCTGAGTATTTAGAAAAGAATCTAATAGAATGTTGTTTTCGTTGGTATGAATCTACAGTACAGTATATAAAAAAGTTTTGATTGTGATAGTTGATAAAAAAAAAATTGAGAAAATATTTTAAGCCATACGAGTGGATCAAACCCGCATTCCCAAACCCCACAAGCACCTGCATTGTCGACTGGACCATGATGGGCTTCGGTTGATTTTTTTTTTTAAGCAATCATTATTCAGATGGGAGTGTGTGTGTGTGTATGTAGGGTTCAGGGATGTGGGTCTGACCCAGCTGTAAGGCCGCAATATTTTCTTATAGATATATTATATTCCTGTGATTTATTAAATATGATTTTTTTTTACCTGAAAATGTAGTTTATTAAAACAAACTATTGGTTTCATAGTTAAACATATCTATATTTGTAAGAAATGTGAATGTGAGCTGATGGAAGACAATGGATGTGTTAGCATGTTGATCAATTAGTTTACTGTTGTGTTAATTCTGATGAAATGGAGTGATGTTATATCATGAGTTTCCACTTTTCATGTAGCTCGTCAACAAGCGGTATTCTCATTCTTTTCGCAAATTTATAGTTTGTGGTAAGTGGCACTTATTCACTATGGCGATAACAAAATGAGTTTGAAGACTATTTGAACCTGTCTCTTAATAGTTATTAAGTCCTAAGGAAAGGATCATTTGTGTGTCTAGGTGGTAATGAGATAGTTGACGTCTTCAAATTGAGAAAAGTAAACTGTTGGTATTTTCAACTTGGTAGTATCATAACGTTTTGCATTTTACGAAAGAACTTGTGTGTTTTTTGTTTAGGTCTGTATTTGCGTTATACGTTTGCCATATTTTAATGTTGTTTAGTTATAATGTTGCTAATGGAATTAAAAATAACTCGTTAACTCCCTTTGGCCCTTAACATCATTTATATTTGGTTTTAAAAGTCGCGGATCATTTTATAAATTAATCTCATTACGTTGTATCATAGGACCAGGTCATAAATATTGCACAGTAATTTGATGGTCTATTCCTTTGAAAGCTAAAATGATTCTAATTGTGTTTTGTAATGAAAGCATTTTTAGGTTTAGTGAAGGAAGATTTTATTGTCATTCATTACTGCTTTCGGTAATTTTTTTTTGTGTGTCAGTATTGTAACTGAACAAATTCTTTTGGGAGAACTTACATATTATTAATAGGAATGAGGATATTGTTAAGTTTGAAGATTTAACAATATCTTATATCAATTATAAGTCTTAACAAAGACTTATAAAGAGAGATAAGTTTAATGGAGTAACTACTTACTTGCAACTTGCGAGAAAATTTTGTCAACAGTTGGATACTTGGTAACTTTATTTTACTAGCTAATAATGTTCTTTCTTTTCTTATTTTTATTGATATCGAACATTTACAAGGAAATGTGATATAAGTTTATATCTAAATCTTTTTTTTTTATGTGAAGAAAACCAGCATGATATTTATATGTTTAGTTTCTTGAAATATCTTAATATAATTCTTTTACCCAAATATTATTTTATGTCATCCTAACATGAAAATTGTCTTGCCTTCTTGTTGTATAAGGATAGTCTTCTGCTTCAAAGTATTGTGACCAATTTTTCGTAATCTGTTACATTTACTGCTGCTGCCTTCTGATGCTAAATTTCTTTCACTTGCATATTGGTTTGTTAAACTAAGTGCAGCTAGTGTGGTACTGCGAGTTGTATGAAGACCGTTGCTTTGGTATAACGGTGCACTTAAGTGAACGTTCTTGTTTAAGGGGATGAAAGCATATAGTTAAGTGAACGTTTTTGTTTAAGGGGATGAAAGCATATAGTTTTAGTGTTTAAGACTTTGAAGAGGAATCATAAAATCAGAATTTGCCTTATGTTCTACATATAATATTTTATATGATTTTCTTTTAGTGATTTTCTGTGGAGAGCTCTTTTGGCTCCCCAGAGCTATACCGGGCTGATGTGTATATATTAGTCCGTGGCAACAGTCAATTGATGGAGTTCTAGGCCTACCAGGGACCACGAGCCAGAACCTGGCCCCTTTAGTGAGGCACGAGGAGCAATGGTCTATAGTCTGTCTGATATCTACCAGGTCAGGTACCCAGAAAGGTAGGAATCCCAAAACAAACTACAGCTAGGGAAAAATTGCAAACCGAAAGCCCAATGAGCAGGCAGAACTCTCCCAATCAGAAAACAAGCAAACAAGCATGACGTCACCACCGCCGCCGCCCCATTGTCTGCGCAGCTCCCCCTTTCCCAGGAGGGGGAAGGGGGAGCCCCAGACCTCCTGCACTGGCTACCCAACCCCAGTTCAAAGGCTGAATATCAAAAACGTGAAAAAAATGCAGACAGGAGGGAGGGATGCTGGGGAGCCTCTGGGTCTCACCCAGAAAATGGCATTTTATTGCATTGTTTGAGGAATTGTTTTGGGATTTCTACCTTTCTAGGTGTCTGACCTGGTAGATGGCAGACATAGACTGCTTCCAACTACATGGGGGTGTCTATAGGCCATTGCTCCTCGTGCCTCTCAGAGAGGACCAGGTTCTGGCTCGTGGTCCCCAGTAGGCCTAGAACTCCATCGATTAAATGTTGTCACAGTCTAATATATACACATCAGCCCAGTATAGCTCCGGAGAGCATCCGGGTCTCGCCCAGAGAACAGCGTTTCATTACATTCAATGCTGGTTTTTTGTGTTTTCATTGTTCATTCCCAGAAAATAAGAATTTCAGATTACTGTAACAGGTTATTTTTATTTTGAGACAGTAAACAACTCCATAAATATATTAATGGATACACAAGGCTTTTTGCATGCAAAAATTTGTATTATATCAGTTATAATACATATTTATGATTGTATTTAGAGGCAGTCTTGAGTTTTCCAAATATATGGTATGATTTCCAGATCATTATTATTATTTGTATACACAATGAAATCACATTAATGAGATGTATCCATGAGAAAATCATTGGGGGCCTCGAACTTTTGTTCGAGGAGGTTTGAAGTTGAGGAGGACTCAAACTTTTGAGTGAGTGAGTTCGAACTGTTTTGTGAGTGAACCCTTGGGGAGTACCGAGTGAGTGGGTTCCAATCCTCCTCGTGGCTCCTACTGAATTTCTCAGTTATTTGTGTTGTTTAATTATTCATACTCTAGATAGTTTTCAGTGCATTTGTTCACTCCTAACTACTTGTGGAAGTTGTTCTCCAGCTGCTAGGTCCCACTTCTTAACCATGGATCATTTCAGGTGATACCTCCATAATCTCATGAGTCTTATCATGCTTTATATTTTAATAAATACATCAATCTGTGTGCCTGCATGAGTGTGTGTGTGTGTGTGTGTGTGTGTGTGTGTGTGTGTGTGTGTAGAGGTGGGAGGCTATGATTCAAGGACGTTACTTGTGTGTAACACGAAGCTGTGGTTCAGGTATGTCAGTGTTGTGTAACATGAAGCTATGGTTCAGGTATATCAGTGTTGTGTAACACGAAGCTATAGCTCAGGTATATCAGTGTTGTGTAACAGGAAAATATGGGACTTATCAGAAAAGGTAGAGACTGGGAAGAAGGGGGGGAGGGGGGTTCATGTTGGTATGAGTGTGTGTGTATATGCATGTGTAGGTCTGTGTATAAGACATGCATAAAAGTAGGTGTGTGTGTGAGAGAGAGAGGGAAAGAAGGGGGGGATATATACCTGTTATATCGTATTGTCACCTGATAACCCGTAAATGTATGATTTTATATATACAGTATATAAGGGACTGTTTGCTGCATTGGTATTTATGTGCTTGTATGCCTAAGTAACTTGCATGCATGTATTTTTGCATGTGTAAGCTTATGTTTACGTACTAATTTTTCTTTGAAGTTTAAGTGCATCACAACATGGCACTGACTCATAAATTGTAATTTCATTTTTTGAGAGATATATACAAGAGTTGTTACATTCTTGTACAGCCACTAGTACGCGTAGCGTTTCAGGCAAGTCCTTAATCCTATTGTCCCTGGAATACGATCCCCTGCCGCGAAGAATCGTTTTTTCATCCAAGTACACATTTTACTGTTGCGTTAAACAGAGGCTACAGTTAAGGAATTGCGCCCAGTAAATCCTCCCCGGCCAGGATACGAACCCATGACATAGCGCTCGCGGAACGCCAGGCGAGTGTCTTACCACTACACCACGGAGACTGATAATTTGATTTGATGCATCTTGGTGCACACTGGGCTCGCTGGCTAATGAGTACAGCTCAACACCTACAGTACAATAATGTATTTTTCTATTAATATAATTGCTAATCTGATACAAAATAATTTGAATACTCGCCATATTAACCCTTAGACAGCGCAATACATACATATATGATTTGACAAAATAATTTAACATAAGTTTTTAAAACTTGCACAAACACCTTCCAATTTGTTTTGCATAATCAACTAGGCAAATACTCCAACTTTGTCTAAATGATCACAGCGTAACTTGAAAAACAATAGAATCAAAATTAATTTTAAAATTGAAGATTGAAAACTGCAGATTTTCAATTCAGAATAAAAATATATGAACTATCACCAATTGTTCATTTATTGTTATTATTCTCTCAGAATAGCATATGATCTTCATTTTCATCAAATTAGAATATAGGTTTTCAATACAGTTTACTGTAAAAGAAATCATCAATAGGGCATTTGAAATATGCGGCAAATTTAGACAAAAAAAAATTATAACTCCAAATGTATAAAGTTTATGAAAAATCCATTCTGAAGGGATTGTAGAACAGACAACCGAGCACACAATGTCAAAATAGTGAGAATCGGTCAAAAACTGGAATTTTAGAAGCCACTCAAAGTTGAAACTCTAGTTTCAGAGATAATTGAAGTTGAAGTTATCAACAATGAATAAAGGTAGTTTTAATTTGTTAATTTAATTGTATGTTTTAATAAACATTGTTTGGCATTCGTACTCGAATGTGTGAAAGTTGTAGGTCAATGTGTGTTGAAATGAAGTCAAGAAAAAATAACCCCAAAAGACACAAAATATAGGGATAATTATAATAATTATAGTGATTTAGGGGATATATTTAAGGTATAACTTATATAAGTGAAAAAGCCCTAATTTGGTCCCTAATCATCAAAACAACCTAAAGAGACAAAGAAAATAGTTCAAAATCAGAGAAAAAGTCAGCCCCCCCAAAAAATTAAAAGTTCCAAGTTTTATGAATTGTGACCGATTTATTTGTTGACCAATTTCCTTCTATCTTCACATAGTTAGGGAAACATATGCACTCTCCCGGATGTAAAGGTTACAACAAAATCAGATAATAAACAAAGGAGGAAAAAGAAACTAAACTCTTAAAAAAAAAATCCCCTAAAAAAATATTTTTGGGAAATTGATGAAATTAACATATACAATATTTGCCGTAGAGCTTGCCAATATTCTAGCATTATTGTCTGTTTTATTTACTCTCTGCAAAGAGTTCTTCAATGAGGGTAATACTCTCTGCAAAGAGTTCTTCAGAGGGTAATGCTCTGTTTATTAGTAATTTCTTCTCCTATCATTCATAAAATATTTCAGTGCATGAACTGAAACTTATATTGTATATTCTGAATTGTTCAATTTAGAATTTTTTCTTGTACAGTTGAGTTGTCCTAGTTAGTTTTGTTTAGTTTCAGTTCATGCACTGAAATATTTTATGAATGATAGGAGAAGAAATTACTAATAAACAGAGCATTACCCTCTCATAACACAATGAAGAGTATCATATTTACATAAAACTGTACACCAAATGCAATATTTTCCTTACATAATGCAATGGATTCATGGTTACCTTCACATACGATAAATTTAATATTATATTATTATTATGATCAAATATTCTCCTTCCTATATATTTCAGAATGATTTTATTTACAATTTCAGCATTCTTACCAAGTTACTGACCAAATTGAGGAAAGTGTGCGTGTGTGTAATTACCCAAGTGTAGTTACAGGATGAGAGCTATACTCACGGTGTCCTGTCTTCCCAGCACTCTTTGTCATATAACACTTTGAAATTACTGACAGTTTTGGCCTTGAGGTTCATCTTGAGGTTATCTTGAGATGATTTCGGGGCTTTAGTGTCCCCGC